GCTATCTGCACAAATGGTTGACATTAAACATTAAAACGACCAGGCAGTTCAGAGAGAATCAAAGGAAGGCAGGCAGGCAGCTTTGCATGACATTCTTCAGGTCGTGTTTCATTGTGGTGATAGTGAGGGTAGTCAATCGTTTTGTTGACAAGACAGTAGTGACGGCCATCTTGGTGACGTGTGTTGTTGACCAGAGATGTAGTTCATTGAGCGTTTCACACAAACAAATGTGTTACTTCACAGTTTTACGACACATTTATTTTTTTTTGACTTGCAAAATTATCTTTTAAATTGACAAACATCATATGTGTTATTCGTGGCACAATTCAAACGGGATCGAAAGATAATCTTTCTCTCTCCATTGACTTCAATACATAATTTTTCCGAAATAAGGTCCCATGGAGGTCCACCGGAAGGGGAGGGACTTCGCCACTCTATTTGGAGCAGGCTGGAGCAGGCGGGAGTGGAACTCTGACGCCACTGTCGAGCCGTTAGTGGCCAACTCCGCCTACTAAGGGCTTCTCGGCAACTCTGCAGAATCTTATGGGTGACGTCACGGACCCTACGTCCATTTATATATACAGTCTATGAACTGAACGAGAGAGTAATGTCAAATGACAGTACAATTGACCAATCATATCTTCCCTCTAAATGGGTGGGTTTTATTATCGCGGACTTTATGACAAGTTCCGCCCGCTGTGAAACTTTTCTTGTTTCCATAGCAACAACAACTTCCTGTCAACAGCGTGAACTCGCCTTCAAAATAAAAGCATGCCAAATTACACTTAAGACATACAACTGCAACGAAAGTAACAAACACAATGCAATATCATTTTCAATGTCAAAGAACACAAATTGGGTTCACAGGTGTTGTTTTGTGTGGTAGAGGGTCGCTGTCATTGATGCGTTTTGCACCCTGGGCCGTTGTTTTGATATTCCGCTGAAGTATACGTTGTGACGTAATAACTCTTTTTTTTTCTTTTTTTCGAGGGAATTGGTGGGGGTCAGAGGGCCTAGGTATAAAGCTCACGGCTCGCCACTGCCTTTCACTAATATATATCGTCCCTCTTTGTCCCTAACTTCTTTATGGAGTTCAAATTGAACTGCATTTGAAATAAGGATAGCCACTCCCCTCTTCTGGCTAGGTTTGTAAGAACTATAGAACGTATTTTTAAAACCAAAGCGTTTTAATTTTTCATGCTCCTGTTGAGGCAGATGAGTTTCTTGTAAAAATAGTACTTGGGCCTTTTCTTTTTTCAATTTAGCCAGGACCTTGCTCCTTTTAACTGGATTATTCATCCCATTTACATTAAGTGACACCACTTTTATATTATTGTACGGCATTTAAATTACCCAATCCTTTGCATTCACAAAACTCCAGACAACTGAAAACTACACAGACCTGAACATCTGGCCCACATGTAGTGAACGTAGAACGTAAAAGGAAAAACGTAGACTTCCAAGGTAGTGTGATTCCTCGCCACCCTAAGTCCCCGTTGGCAGGAAGAGGGGAGAGCCTCCTCCTGGAGGGCCCCTCACTAGAGGTGAAACACGCAATCTCACGCATCCTAGTAGTCCAACAGCATTTATATCCAATAGCATTTATATAATCCAAATGAAGTCGTGACAAATATATACAGTGAATATATAATATGAATCAGTTAGTCCCGGGAGGGATCCGCTCATACTCTTGTAGCCTCTTCCTTACTCTGCTCGCGGTCTCGTCCCCACCTGCACTACTCTCTCCGACGCGCTGCCATGTCTTGGTCTGGTGGAGACGCTCCATCTCCGGGTACAGCTCCGAAGCATTGCGGTCTGGTATCTCCACGGAGAAACCTCTCCTCCTCAGCTCCTGCGCTGCATCTTGCGCACTGTCGTATGTGCGTGTTCCCGAGTCCCAGTGAATACGCATCCTGTCGAGAGGTGTCTGGAAACGTATATTTTTCTCTTTAAGGACCCTCTTTATTCCCACGTACGCCTTGCGCTTCAGGACGACCTCCGTTGCATAGTCGTGATCGAACGATAGACGTCACCCTTCCATCAGTATCTTTTTTTCCCAGGCCTTTTTCAGTACCCTTTCTTTGGTGTTAAACTCCAGAAAGTTCACCACTATGGACCTTGGCGGTGCATTCCTTTCCGGTTTGCGAGCCACAGCTCTATAGGCGCGTTGTATCTGTAGGTTGGTGTCCGGTAAAGCGAGTTCAGTTTTCAAAAGTTGATCCACAAAGTCAGACATGGAGTCACCTTCCTTCTCTTCGGGTACTCCATAAATGCGCATATTATTTCTCCTGGATCGACCTTCCAAATCCACCAGTTTCCCCTGCATGGCTCTCTGTTCTTTCATTGATTTAATCAACGCATCTGACATAGCCATGTTTACTGTCTCCGCCTTATCGATTCGTTCCTCCGCTTCTTTCAGCCTAGTTTCGTGGGCCTGGGTTAGCGCGGAGTTAGCAGAACGTTTTTGGTAAATTTCCTGCTACATATCTTCGAGTTCAGATTTCATGTCTCCCTTGATTTCTTCTTTAAGTTTGTTTAAGTCCACTTTATGCTCAGCCCTGAAATCGCGTATTTCCTGGAGCACTGAGCGCATGGTGTCTGCCGAGCAGTGTTAATTTCGTCAACGAAAACTATGACGAAAAATGTTCGTCAACGACCTTTTTTACATGACTAAGACGAGACGATGACGAGCTAAAAATAGATTCTTGATAACGAAAATTTGACGAAATGTATATTTAGTTTTCGTTGACGAGACGAGACGGGACTAAGGTGTTAATGGTGGACTATCGGACATTAAAAATGCAGGGTATTTCCCCCCAATTGCCCGTCTTGTCTGTCAAAATGCATCTTACATTTCTAACTTGCAATATCATTATTTCCGCTCTTCACTCCAGAAGAGCGATCTCCCTAGACTGTGTGCGGGGGGCGGGGCCTAACAGACACGCTGCAGCGGCACACAGAGATCTGCCGGGGACGGAGCGTTCAGAGAGTATAGAGACACTCTGCAAGTCTCGATGTGGACAAAGCTCGTTTGCCATGTTTTCGCGTTGACACGAGTAGAGTAGTCTGTCCAAACAGCCGGCCAAAAGGCGTCATATTCAGTCGGAGAAATGCACAATTTTCGACTTCCTTAACTCGTAGCTCTGTTGCCCCAATTACGAGTAACGTTATCACATCAGGTGTGCAGAGGTGGGAGAAGTACTAAGATCTTGTAGCTAAGTAAAAAAATACCATAGTGTAGAAAGAGTTCCTCAAGTCAAAGTATGATCATCAAAATATATTTAAAGTAGCGACAGTAAAAGTAGTCATTGTGCAGATTGGTCCATTTCAGAATAATATATATGATATGTTTTATAATGATTGATCATGAAAGTGTTCTCAAAGCTGGTAAAGGTGCAGCTAGTTTGAATGACTTTGTATACTGCAGGGTAGCTTGTGAATTTACTCCAGGTGGAACTAAAGTCTGATTTAACACTTGATTATATTTCACATCATTCATCCACATCTGTAAAGTAACTAAAGGTATTAAATACATGTAGTGGAGTAGAAGTACACCATTTAACTATGAACTGTAGTGGAGTAGAAGTACACAGTAGCATAACATTTAAATACTCCAGTAAAGTACAAGTACCTCAACATTTTACTCAAGTATAGTACAATATTTAAAAATAATTATATATATTTCATTTATTTCACATTTAAATAAAGCAATTAATTCGGTTAACAATTTGTTAGTTTTTTCCTTTAAAAAAATAACAAAAAGTAAATACAAGAATGCCGTTAAAGTACCGGATCGATAAGCAGTATTGATAAGACTAGTAGTACCGTAGAAAACCTTAACGATACCCATCCCTAGATATTACACAAGTAAAGTGTTAAGAAAGTGAAATGTTGCTTTACGAATTTCAACACTTGATGCTGTCACCTTGATTACAATGTCAGAAACCTGTTTTGCCTAACTGAATTGGTTTAAAGAGAGAAAACATTTTGACTAAAAGTTGACTAAAATGTAATTTTTCATTGACTAAAAGTAGACTAAAACGTTTTGAGTTTTCGTCGACTAAAACTCGACTAAAACGTTTTGAGTTTTCGTCGACTAAAACTAGACTAAAACTATGAAGGATAGAAATGACTAAAATGTGACTAAAACTAATAACCATTTTCGTCTAAAGACTAAGACTAAGACTAAATAAAAAACAGCTGCCAAAATTAACACTGCTGCCGAGTCCTGTTGTGAGCTAACGGAGCTAACGGAGCTTTGAGCATCTTCCATCTCCGGTGAATTCTGTCTTTCTAGTTTGTCACCTTTCTTTTGACTTCTAGTTCTCTTTCCCCCTCTCATTCCAATAAAATTACATCGATTTGTATATTATTTGGCGAGTTAAGGGGGTTGATTTCCAATCGCTATCGAGAGCTAAAAATTAAGCAGCCATCTCACTCGCCTTGCTCACCGGAAGTCTCCCATTATTCTTTTACCTGATAACATAATCAAAGAAATCAAATAGATTCCCTTTGTTCTCAGTACAACAGACACCACAGGACAGGACTGCATTTGTTTCCAAGTAACCTGCCCAAAGGAGCCATTGATAATATATTTTATGTCTGTTGATTTGCATATTTCATATTATTTATGCCTCCTCTGTAAGCAATTTTATAGATTAGTAAATTATTTTGTTGATTTTCTTCAAAGCAAATGTTCTCAAGTAGCCAGTGATGCACTGGATATGTCAAGGTCTTTTATTGTGAAAGGGCGATTGTGATAGATTTGCATTGTGAAGGAATACTCATAGGGAACCAATGTAAAAGCTCATGGTGTCGTGATTTAACACAGTGATTTAATGATAAGCAAGGGCAAAAGCTACTTTTTTATGGTAGCCTTAACTAGTCTGAATGTGACTGGTATAACCCTCTGTAACACATCCCTCAGTCAACAAAATGTCTGCAAGTTTCATGACAAAATACATCTCAAAACGTCTGGGACCACTGTGTGCGTCACAAAGATGTTTCATGTTGGGTAATGTGGACACTAGCTTCCTCACTTTGGTGGCTTGCAAACTCAGTCGGTCTGTAACCCGGTCCCTCCTCAGCGTCACGCAGACAACGATACCTTCAGGACCGCAGCCAGCCAGCAGTGAATTTGGCTCGAGACCTTGGTGTCCACTGACAGGTCTGAGAATAAACCAGGGATGACTGGAATACTTTACAGAGTGTAGAGGAGAGTTATATTCCGTATAATCTGACTGTGCTCGCTGGACAACACCGTCATGATGTGACAAAACAAAGACATCGGTCTCCAGTAACATTTTTCTGTCGTCTGTCAAATTAGAACTAGGGTGGCACTAGCACAAGTTAAACATAAGGGATGTTGCTGTAAATAATCTGGAATGGGTTTTATAGGCGGGTTTGAAACATTACAGAAAACCAGATAGCACTTCTGATTGGTCAGGAGAGTAGAGAGGGCGGTGCCTACAGCATGACATCCTAACTGAGGTGGTATAAAAACCGTCCTGCACGATTCTACTGCAGAGGGATGAAACACTGCAGGCAACTTGCTGCTCGTGGGAGTTTGTAAGTACGTATTGAGACATATTTGAGCATTTTTTTGAGATTATAATTGCTGAATTCCACACAAATAGAGGTCTTTAATATTTTTACATAAATGCCGCATTGATCTATATACTGGCATTAAATGTTTTTTTTCTGTTTTCTAGAACTACAACAAAACATTGAGGATAACATTTCCATTCTTCAAGATCACACTATCAGTATTGAGATGTCCAGTGCAACGTAAGCAAACTAAGTGACTCGTTATGCTGTTGCTTTGGGCTGCAAAACAGAGCGGGGAATATAATGTCATATCATCTTGATCTTGGGTTGCATGTCATTACTACAACTCCATGATATTTAGACGTTTATTAAGACTTCCATGGCCGCCGTTTTTAATGAAATCCCTTTGTCTCCAGTGTTCTGCCAGGGGTCGGCCTGGGGTCAATGGCCCAGTCAGCTGGACTTGCAGAGATTGCGGTCAGACTGTGCTTGAACCAACGTAAACAACTTTGTCCTCATGTTTGGGTTCCCATCCTGAAGCCTCGGCGCCCGTGCATCCGGCCTAAAGTGTCTGATCAGCTTTCCTCTGAAATCTTTAGCAAAGCCTATCTGACCCACCTCTTCCCATCCTTCTTGGAGGACTTTGATGAAGATGATGATGATCTTTTATTCCCAGTCAAGAACAAACGTGTGATTTTCGCTGACTCACGGGGAATGTCTTTGACAGCCGTGAGAGAGTTTTCTGATGAAGAGGAGCAGTCTGACATTAACCTGCTGCCGTCGCTGCAGGATTTGGGGAGCATGATGGAGGATGGCTACAGCTGCACCGTCAGCACCTGCTGCCCAGGAACAAGCCTCAAACTGGGCTTCCCGCAGCCTTCTGCAGATTTCCAGGCCTTTCGTGCAAAGCTAGCCGAGAGCATGGTGACCCTGGAGAACTGCAGCGTTAATGAACAGGCGCTCCACGGGACGGTGCGCGTCAGGAACATCAGCTTCCAGAAGGAGGCGCGTGTTCGCATCACCTTTGACTCGTGGCTGAGCTACAGAGACGTGGCCTGTGCTTACCTGCCGAAACGCTTCGGGGGCCCTCAGACAGACATCTTTGAATTTTACATTGCCATCCCTAAAGTTCTGGATGCCAAACGGAGGATTGAGTTCTGTCTGAGTTATTCTCCCGGTGGGCAGAGCGAGCCGTTTTGGGACAACAACAACGGACAGAATTACAGCGTGGTCGTGTGCGTCAGCTCACATCTCTGCTGCGGGAAGAATCTGAGTGAAAGGGCATGACGTGCTTAAGCTAGAAATTATTCCTTTTTTTTGTCAGACATAAATCAGTCCTGGGTAAAGATATTTTTTATTACATTTGAATTCATTTTCAGAAATGTTTAGACATCTTAGTTAGTGCTTTGTATAAAACTCTTTGAAACAGGTCTTTGCATTCGATTTTCTTTCACATTCACTTTCAATGGTTAAGCTTTTTATTTTTCAGTGCGCGCTCTCTTGACATGCCCTACATTCTGACCACTTACCAACGCATGCGTTACTGTTGTGCACCAGGGACGGGATCCCTTTCACTTTGGACATTTTCTGGGATTGCCATGTAGGTCAGAGATTACTGGGCAGGGCCAAACAGAAACCCAATAGCAGGATGGGAGCTAATCTTAGCTCAGCCCTGTTTACAGAGCAGAGGGTTGCTATCAGAGACTGATCCCAGGGAACTATGTGATACCATCTTCCCCAATACCATCCTTCTAAAATCCCAGCACACTGCTTTCATTGTCACATTGCACCATATTGTTTCATAGTAAAGTTTGTGTAACATTTAGACACTGAGTACCAATTAACAAATCATAACTCTACAACAGCCTTCAACCGAGTGGTTCAAGTATTTGCAAGGGATGCTGACAACTGGAATTAAAGCTACAACGTAGGAATAATATTAGACATTTAGCAATAAGTCATTTTTTCTTTAAACAAAGAACATCTGGCAGTGACTTATAGAGTATTGCATGAGGTAAATATTGCAAAAAGATTTGTTATACCCTAATATTCTTCAGTTCTGTAATGTTTTAGTGTAGGGGCATGCTTTTAGCTTTTGTACTGTTTAAGTTCGGATAAAACGGGAAATAACATCAAACTAGAAGTACAGAAAAACAAAACATGAAATCCAACACATCTTGATGAAAACATTTAAATTAAAAAGAAGAAAAATATATTAATAAAATGCCACAGAGACAAGGGAGAGCACAGATAACTTTGATCAAATAAGCAGAACTGATACTTTCCAGCATCATTCCTCAAGCTGTTTTCCACTCATCCGTTAATGGACTATATTTCCAGCTGTGATCATTAAATTCTGCAAATCACATTGTAAAAATCTTCTATTTAATACTCACTATTCTATACCAGGCGGGGGGGAAGAGGGGCAGCAGCATGCACGCACCCCGAGAGGTGGGCTGTTTCCACTGTGTTCTGACCTACACTTGATGCTTTCACCGTTTTCTGTCTGGTGCAACACTGTGTCTTTCAATCTTGTAGTTTCACACACTCCCAGCTCTCAGCGCCCCACACTGATGTTGCACACTTTGCAGCTCGGGTCTTTCTTGGCGTTGGCTGTGGTCAGACTCATGAGCTGGTGGTGCCCTCGGATCTGCTCCACGTGGCCCTGATCCAAAGACACCGGATCAGTGAAAATCACCTCCAGGATGACGTCGCTGGCATGGCAGAACAGAGGCTCCTCCCCCGGCCTCTGAGGGGCAGTGTATGTCAGGAAGGGGTTGGAGGCCAAGTCCAGCATGGGGAGGCGGGAGCGACAGAAGGTATCGCCCTCCGAGCCAACAGGGGCCAGCACCAGCACTACGTAGTGGTAGGCTGTGTACATACAGTAGAAGTCTGCAAAGTACAGGGAGATGTTGGGGTTAAGCAGGTGTCCCGCTGGGATCAGGAAACGCTGCGGGCCGTACGGGGAGTCTTTGGGAGGGAGGCCCGTATCAAACTCTGTGCTGCAGCTGAAAAAGACTCCATGCAGTTTTCCATTGACAGGAGATCCATGACTTCCACTGATGTCTTTCAGGGCGGGACGCATCAGGCCTCCACATTCCCCTCTAAGCAAAGATATGAAAAATAAAGGGGGATTATACTTCACATTTTGGATAAAACACTTTCTTGCTGTGGGGGTTAAAGAGAAAATGTATACCATTGTTATCCATGTATGCTAAATGTTTAGTTACAGCAAGCAACCAGTTAGCTTAGCACAACAATTCGGAAACAAATATATAACAATATCCATCAATCAATATATCTTACAGCTAACATGATCGAGATAAACTTGCAAGAACAGGTAGATCTTGAAAATATCTATCCAGAAAAAGCTAGCTAGTTTCACTAAAAGTCATCGTTTCTCAGACGCTGTTGCCACTAAAAATGTCTCTTGTTTTTCTGATAACTTAGGGGTTCAGACATCCGATGACTAAAATACTTTATCTAGTTCAAAGATATGTAGTTAAAACAACCAAGATGTAGAAAGGTTATGGATAATGTTGCCCAACACTCATGCGCAAATGGAGTACATTGGCTTTACAGGTGACCAAATGAAACGAACAATTACCTTGTTGTTTATACTTTCAAGTTTGAATAGGTGGCTTCTTTTTACCATTGGACGGATCTAGGATATCTTTTCCCTTGTTTTCATTCTTAAGCTTGACTGCATGCATTAACTTCTTATTTACTGTTCAGAGACATGAGAGCGTGTTTAATTGCTGCTGGAATTGCTTTGCGGTAATTAGGAGATAAGAAAGCAGCACTGACCTGACAAAGTCGAAGTATTCTGGATGCTGGTTGCGATAAAACACAGAAAACTTCAGCAGCCGTCCTGCAGAGCCCTTGGCCTTGTCGAGCAGCTGCTGAAGGTGCTCCATGGCGTAGTCTGCAAAGTGGATGGAAAGGAGGAGTTAAAGGTCCCCTATTATACTGTTTTTCATCAATATATTATAGGTCTCAGATATATACAAACATGTCTCTGAAGTGTTTGGCTCCAAACACCAAACAGATCATTGCAGCATCCCATAATCCCCTCTGTTTCAGCCCTGTTTCAAAAGTGCTGATTCTCTGTCTGTTACTTTAGATGAAAATAAGGAGCCCCTCCCCACGCCCCTCTGAGAGATATTTGGTTAAAAAGAACACAATGGTGCTCTAGGAGGAGATTCAGGTGATAAGGTGGGGGGGGGGGGTTACCTTGGTTGGTGATTGGCTAATGGTTACACAAGCCAAAAAATCGTTATGACATCATAAAGTGGCCAAAATATGATCAGCTCATTGTATCTGGAGAAGCAGTGTGTGTCCAGGTTTTTATATAAATGGATCAGGACAAAAAGAGAGAGAATCTTTTTTCCTGAAACTTTCAGAATCTCTTTACACAGAGGGGACACATGTTGATGTATAAAAGACATGAAGAAGAGGATTTTGCATAATAGGTGACCTTTAAGTAAAATGCTAATGACCTCCAATGCCTCCCATACTCTTTATAGTACATGTTACTTTAGCTGTCAGATTTAGTTTGTCATACCCCCGGTGCAGAACTCCACCACCTGGCTCCACTCGGACACCAGGTAGTCACCGTCCGGCTGTCGGACAGCAGTTTGGACAGCAACACAGTACTCTGTCCGCGGGCTGAGGAACCAGTGCCCCCTCACTGCCATGGGGAGGGGCACGGCCTTGGCCACCAGCTTGGTTGGCACATCCTGGAGGACAAAACAGGGAGGGAGTCGACATCAGAGACAGGATGCAAGGCTAGAACAGGTTGTTGTGTGTTTCATTTACATATCAAACAAAACAATGTAAATGCAATTGTTAGGTGAGCCATTCCCCTACATAAACTTTGCCTTATTAGCAGGATTTTCACCTTCAAGCGCAAGCTGCTGTAACTAGGAGACATCTCATCAAATCGACAGCTTTGTTTTGTCCAAGGCCAAGAGAAGCATAGCTAATTACTGAATGCTCAGAGGCCCATATATCCATGGCAACATCTCTGATGCAAGTTTGTTTGTTTCACTTTGTGTATCGGAGAGAGAGCGTATCCTGCAGACAGGAACAACTCACACTCGTACCCCTGCCTTGACTTCATAAAAGCACTTTTTTAAAGACGGTTGATTTGCCAGCTGCAAGAAATGGGTCATAATTTTTACAGTCAGCAGTGTTTATCTTAAACAAAGAGAGATTATGAAGGGCTTCAGCTAGAGGAGTTATATTTAGACACAGGATTCTGTAAAAAAAAAGGTCAAATCTCTCCTACAGCAATATTTAATATGAAGAGATAGAGCTTTGTGAGGCTGTATACTAATTGCTAACGTCAGAATGCTAACATGCTAAGGGAAATGTTAAGATGCTGATATATACTGTAGCAGGTCTAATGTTTACAGTTTTCATCACCTTAGCTTAGCAAGTTAGCATGCTTATATTTGCTAATTACCAACCAACTCACAGTACATTTGAGTATAATGTGATTGCTATTAGTTCTGCAGGTAGGAAACACTCATATTTATCACATGATGGCACACATTTAAAAATCAACAGATTAACCAAATATTCTGGGAAACAGGGTGTCTTTACAACATTGCATCAAATAGTTGTTGAGATATTGTATGTTGACCAAAGTTATGGACCAAGTACCCAACCAACAAACAGAACACATTTGCTTAAAATTACATTTTTAACATGTGCAAATCCCATGAAAATATATGTTTTAGGCCTATGTTAGAGATGTGGGGAAGAATAGCACTGAATGCTGAACTAATCGAATTCACTGCTGGAAGTGAACAGACAAATATACAAATATTTTTGTAAAGAGACAAGCCATTACATTGCTGCCTCATGTCTGTGGTGCTTTTTTAGCATGAAGACTGTTCAGTGCTGGAGAGGAATTTGTCAGTTTTTGTGCACTTTAAAAGGAAGCAATGTGAGTCATTGGCCCGAAGCTGTTGACTGCACATATTTTCCTTTTTCGCCTGTATTGGAAGTGACTCAAAGGGCGCAAGTGCTGTTTTCTGTGTTCACACTAATGCAGAATATCGTAAGGCAGTTAGACCCATCTGTTAACCCAGCTAGACCTCTACAAAATGGACATTTGGACCAAAGGGCATACAGTGAGCCTTCAAGGAAGCCTTCCGTCACCAATCCTATAAAAATGGATTAATGTGAATCTGAAATATGAATGTACACAGCTTAGCAGGACACACATTGAATTGGATTGACATGGAAAGGACGGAGGAAGGTACATGAGGTCAGACCCTGTGTTTGAAGCGGTTGGGGTCCCGGCTCTCTTTGCGGCTGAGGTCGATGAAGAAGTGTGTGGACCTGGCACTGTCCTCGGGGGTTATGTCCCACATGATGCGGAAGGAGTCACAGGTCACCTCACAAATCTGGATATTGCAGGGGGTTGCGAGAGGAGCGTCCATTTTTGTTATCTGCCATTAAAACCGGAGAGATAAAAAGGACCAGAGGATAATCACTGTAATACCCGTGCTGGAGAACATCTGCTTAAAGAGATTAAAATACATCACTTAGAGTTACACACTGGACACTGTACAACAGTTAAGAAACACCACATCTGAATTTCCCTCAGACAGAATCCAATTAACCTTTCATTTAGGGATCTGTGTCTTGATTATTTATTCACTGTCCTGCTCTTTTCTCCCTCCTCCTTTCCCCTTCTCCTCGCCCTCAACTGACGTTTCCCATTATTACACAACTCGATACGCTCGCGGCTGATTGACTGGCCTCTGCTTTCCCCTGTGCGTTTCACAATCCATCTACAGCAGTCTCCGAGCAACCAGGCGTCCTCAGCCTCCCTCAATCTTCTCCTGTGATTCTCAGGGAAGGGAGTCACATACAAAAACACCGCTGCACCTGTCAGCTACAATTTAAACTGAGGGTCACTTTTTAAACACTTATGCCTCCTGGCTGAAGTCCACTCCCCCAAAACAGCTGAGTGAAGTGAACTCCTTGCAGCTCGAGGGAAATCTAACAGCTTTTATAATGTTATGGCAGAAACAGGGGAGGCTTAAGTAGGGAACAGCAGCAGGTGATTTATGATCATATTTCCTTTAGTTGCCCATCAGTGTTGCGATCCAGGCTGCTGCACATAGCCTTGAGTCTCCCACTGGGTGCAAATTGTTGGTCGGCCTGTGTGTGCCTGCGTTTGATTAGCTGTCACCATGCCTCTCATAAACTGGAGTGAAATCTCTGCAACATGTGCACAATGGTCATTTTCTCTTGCCCTTAGCCTTAGTACACATCCCTTCCTGCGTAGTTTGCTTGTAATTTGCATCCATCTTAAATGTGTTATCATAAGCTCCTCCTTGCTGACTACTAGTAGTAAAAAACTCATTTTTTCTCTAGCATTTCACAACCAGCGAAGCTCATTGTTGTTATCTTCCTGAGCATATGCTAAATCACAAATGTGCCTAAAAATAACCCTTTGTACAATCTTTTTTTTTGTGCCTGTGTCGTCTTACAGATGCCTGCCGCTGTGTCATTGTCTGACTTTGAGGTCTTCTAAGGTGTTTGATGGACAGGCTGCAGGAGCTCATTAAAGCCTGTGAACTGTGAAATGTGTGCAGCAGCTCGTTCACACAGGGACCAGAGCAGAGAGCAGTGGCATCACGCACGTGTGTTTTCACGCGTTAGCTTTCCAGCTGCTGTTCTCGTTTCTAACCACGGTGTATTTTCCACAGAACTGGGGCAAGATGAGATTCTAGGACAAGTCATCAAAGCCCCCATGTCTCTACATGTGTGCCACTTTTACATCCAACACATGTGCACACAGTTCAAATGCAGGTTTCCATATCATTCACACACAATCCCATTGCCCTGATTTATAAATCAGCCAGTATAAACACTTGTGAGACAATTATCTCTGCTGCAGAACCAGCTCTGATTGCTGTGTTCATTTGGGCTGTTAGAGCTCAGTCAGAACCTCACACTCGCTGAAAACTAGCTGTTATCTCTTTGAGACAGCCTCATGAAAGAAGCTGCTGCATTCATGCATATTGAGCAGGGCACCGAATGCTTCAAAGTCGTTTATTTTTCTCCAAGGAGTTATTTACTCATTTAGATGGGAGAAAGGAAGAGCTCAATTTTCTCTATAGTATTAACTAAAGGGGGTGAAATGGAAGCAACAGAGAGAGACACACTGAGCAATATGATGTGAAGTTAATTAAGAAAGCTTTCAAACTCAGATATTGTGTGACTAATGCAATTTAAGGCGCTGTACCCCCCCTTGCACAATTAAACCAAGCATTAACATTTAAAAATTACATGAATCAGTCAATGCTGCTGTTTGAAATATCCACACAGCCTTGTATGAGATTGGATGTAACAAATGTACAACGTTCACAATAAATGTCATTCAAGAAAAGCATGTGTGCATTAATGGATATAAAACTCATGCTAACACCACAACCACTGCATTCTTCTGACTTAATGTCTACCCTGAGTGATGCACAAATGAACTACTGATGTACACAACTTCATACACTGGGAGTAGAGCATAATAGATCTATTTTGAGAGCACTACACGCATCTATAAGTAGACTGATTTAGAGGAATTCCTTACTTGTATGAGGCTCAAATTAGTGATGGGAGAAGAGAAATCTTCTTTTCTTCTTGCCTCCTCTGCTGCAGTCGATGATAGATATCCCAGGAAAACTGATTAGGAGGTGAAACGAACACACTAGCTTCTCTCTCAGCCTGTTTCCCTCTCACTCTCTGTGTCACACACAAACACTCTAACCTCCTCCCCTCCCTCCCCACCTCCCTCTCTTACTCCCCCTCCTCCCGGTCTCGTTTTCGCTCTGGGCTCTTGAGGATGATGTTTACTTGGCTCCTATTTGCAGCCACACCGGATGAATTAAAGCCTAAGCGAAGCAATAGATGAGAGTTTTCCAACTGGAGTGTGACCACAGTGAGACACTCAGTCAACCTCGTCCGCATCGTGCCAGTCATACACAACACATCAGTCTGCAGTAAGCCAGCCTTGAGGGTCAAAATACACACACACACACACACACACACACACACACTCACACACACACACACACACACACACACACGCACGCACGCACGCACGCACACACACACACACACGCACGCACGCACGCACGCACGCACGCCACACACGCACACACACACACACACACACACACACTAATATAAACTCACACTTGCATAAATGTCACTTCTCAGATATGGGGACAGTTTTGACAGAAAAAAAAACATGAACCAATTTTTGACACGCTCCAATGGCTACTGCGTGTTTAAAAGAGATTATGCTGAGTGATGTCCCAGGAAATTACATAGTGCTCCAGAAAGATCTCAAAAAATGTACGTGTGCCAACTGTTATGCCATATGGACTAACTCCACAGGACATCTCCCCCCATCACATCCGGAGGCAAGGGATGCCACTGTGTAAATCCAGAGTAAGCAGATTTCCTTTCATTTTCAGTGGGATGTTTTCGTACCGATTCAACCTCATGGGGACAACTTCATTTAGGATTTCAGAAGAGATTAGACCCTTTCCAGATTAGTGTATAATCTGCAGTTAAAACAATTGACATGGGGATAGAATAAAGACAGATAACAAAGGGATAATCTGAAAGTGAGTGGAGTCCATTCACAAACACATCATATTTGTTTTGACAAGGATATATTGCCATAATTCCACGGGCTGTGTGTGATATTGAAAAGCTTAATTTAGTCCTAGCCAGCCGCAGAAAAGCAATACCCTCCGAGTGTAATTAAAGTGCAATCTTCCATCATTAGTCAAGCCATGACAGTCTGCCTGTGTCCAAACGACCCTTTCAGCTCCAGAGGTGGGGATAGGCAGTTTGTAAGGGGAGGGTTCGCTGTGCGTCTGATGGAGAGAGAGTATGGCTAAATTTACATTTGTGATGTCCTTAAAAGACACAAAGCCCCAAGCCCATGCATTATCAGCACGGTTGGAGTGGATGTCTGGTCAGGAGTGCCAAAATAGTCAGAGGCAGCTCGGAGCAAGGATTTATTTCTCATTGTTGTTCATCAGCGGGACACAATACTAGAACAACTTCCACTTTACAGAAGATTAAGCATCATATTGGCACCAAGTTATGCACAAATAAAACCAGTTACATAATGCTGACTTGATGTTTACGGACATGCCATGATTTATTTTCCTTGGATGAGTCTCTTGGTAAACATTAACAAAAGTAATTTACAATTATAACGTTTTTTACAGAAGTTACACATTAATAATTTTACATAAATGTGGGCTTGTTGTTGTAGAAGACAATTATCTTTTTAAAACATATATTTGATCCCAACCTGAATGGTGTTTTTTAACCTTTAAAAATATGTATAGTAGGCTATTAAATTAAAAGACAGAGCCATTATTGAATCATTTGTGTAAATCGCAAAAATTACTAAAACAAAGCTGTGTTACCCTCGAGTGTTGGAGATCACCACAAATAAGACTTTTAGAGAAACAAATAAAGTAAAAACAGTTAATAAAAAAGTAATAATAAAGAATACTCTGCTCATTCATAGCAAAACTGCAAGACTATCACATATATCTCTTTAAACACAAATATGGCAACCGCAACCGAGGGCAAACCCTCTTTGATGGTCACACATGCAGAGCACACAGCACACACAGTGAAATGTGGCCCCTGCGTAAACCCATCCTAGTAGTAGGAGTAGTGGGCAGCTATCGTACAGCGCCCTGATCATATTGTACTGTATATTATTATTCATTGGCACTGTGTTCTCCTTTTGCATATTTAGGATAATAACTGTAGGCTATACTATCATTAAAAAACAACAACGGTTTTAAATGTTTTATGTTGCATTTGACCTCGCAAGCCATTAGCTTTTGTTCAAATCATATCAAGTATTTAACTTTGCATTTATCATCTAAAATCCTTTGTCCAGTATCTTGAACAGTGAGCTATGTGCCACAGCCTACACTTTTACATTTAGTAAATTAGTTGCACGTTTTACAATGACTGTCTGTGCATATTATTGATGTACTATAAACGCATAATACATATGTATAAGCTATATAAAGCCAATCCAAAGACAAGATCATTCTTAAAATGATCCCTACGACGATTTAATTCCGATGTAATGCGTATTTGCGGTGTTTCTGCGCAGCACTGATCCACGTGCACTCACTCAGTGACGACACTGCGGAAGTGTCATGGCGCCGTACGTCATGCATTGTCAGAAGCAACACTAGCACCAAACAACTCTTATTGCTTCTTCTCCTAAAGTCTGGACTTGAACATCTAAAAAGGACATTGGAGGAACCATAGCGTAAGTATCTGGAGAAGCAGTGTGTGTCCAGAGATATTATTGACAGCGTTTAGGGGCACTAACATCCACTGTATGCCTGTATTCGTGTTTTAATGTGGCCACGTGTTGCTGATTTTGTTGCCGTTGACGCAATAACATTAAATATTTCGAGCTACAGTCGTGATCTAGTAAAAGGCTGTCATTGTTTGTGCACTTAAAATGTCTGTCAGTTGTTTGTGTCACTAAATTCAAAGCGCTGTTGTGGTGAAAGAGCAGTAGCCCATTTTTTAAAATTATTGTTGTCCCAATTCAGAAACACTGCTTAATATGATACTGTACAAAAGGTAATTAATGCATCCGAACAGATTAATTTGACAGCATATGTAGGTTATTTGAGTATAGCACTGTTAAGTCAATCTTATCTATGCTCTAAAGATAAACTTGATTAATCCTGTGTGTCAGTGACTGTTTAAAGGCATTCTTCTTTTAAAAAATCAATAATAACAAAGACAAAAAAAATCCCATAACACGTTAGGTTATACACTTCAATGCAGTCTATTCTGCAGTATAATTCTACCAGTTCATAAACATTACATTACACTTCATGGTATTTGGCTGACACCTTTATCAAAAGCAAATTTAAATACACTACTATACAGTAAAGATGCCTACAGGAGCAGTTAGGTGTTAAGTAGCATGCCCATGGACACTGTACTACTACTAGAGCTGCACACGTTTGAAAACTATGAGTTATTGCGACTATTTTGACTGATATTGTGATATGATTAGTGATATAAGAGGGAACTTCTAGGAATTCATAATATACATGTTTCATTTGACCAAAAAGGGCTTTCTGCAATTTTGATATTTGTTGAGAAAATACTCTTCCAATATCAGAGTAGCACATGATAACAACAGGGTTCTTACGGTCATTAAAAACCTGGAAAAGTCATGGAAATTCAAAATGCTAATTCCAGGCCCTGGAAAAGTTATGGAAAACAATATTTTCCCAAAGTTTTGGAAATGTAACTAAAGTTGCATCAAATATAATTTATATTTTATCTAATCGCCGAAATAGTAATACTATAATGATAATAAATAATGTATGGTATAGTAATGAAACGTAAAATGGCATTTAACTGACGAGGAGGTATTTTGCTGGTGAGAGATTTTAGTTGCTTTAGCCTGTAGGAGCTAGTAAGCCTACTATTTGATTTGTTTTAGATAGGCACAACATGTTTCATATGCAGACCTTATTTTCCTGTTCCATGTTAAAATAAACAATTTTCAGTGGTACCGCTGAGAAAGAGTAATGTTTTTGGTCATGGAAAATTAGGTAAAGATCATGGAGAAGTCATGGAAAATTAGGTAAAGGTCATGGAGAAGTCATGGAAAAGTCATTGAAAATCATTGGTGAAAAAGTGTATGAACCCTGTAACAAAGGCCCAACAGTAGCTGTGTACATGGCAGGATGTTTGATTACCCAGAAGAGCATCAGGACTGTTTTAGGCATGATAGCTATGTGAAAACGATTAACATGATGATTCAGTCTCTATGGAGATACATGACACGCATGATCATTTCTGACGTGGGTCTTAGCTAATCTGAACAAAACATTGAATACTGCTTTGAATCGGTATTCCTGCATCTTGTGACTGTTTAACACCCTCTCTATAAGCATGTGAAGGACACTTTTCGACTAGTAGTACCCTAGTTGCTCTGTATGTGATGACCACTTCCATTCTTTCAAGGATAATAACATGTATCCTGATATTGAAGCTCAAGCCGGTGACGAGTGATATTTTTCTAACAATATTGCACTTCTCCATATTGCGATAACATTTTGATTAATTGTGCAGCTCTACTATTCACAAGTTAACATTCATTGTAGTAAAAATATGATAATCTTTATGCCACATGTCTCAAGTTTAGGATGGCAGAGTCAGGCTCAGGTAACCCCAGTGGTCAACGTGTGCCAGCGACCCCCGGAGGGAGCGCCACGGGACTCCTGATGGGCCGCCGCACCCCCGCCGCCCTCTCTGCTGGCCGCCTCCCCTCAATGCGCTCCAGAGACCTCACCCTGGGGGGAGTGAAGAAGGTAATGCCCTCGCCTCACTGTTAGAGATTATCGGCCTTCAGGTTCTTGCTCCTTGTTCCAATACTGATGTACGTTTTTCTTTTACATTTTTAGAAAACCTTTACACCCAACATTATTGGCCGGAAAGCAAAAGAAGAGTAAGTTCTCAACGGACCTCAGTGGATACATTAAAGGTCACCTATTATGCAAAATACACTTGTTCATGTCTCTTCTACATCAACATGTGTCCCCTCTGTGTAAAGAGATTCTGAAAGTTTCAGGAAAAAAGATTCTCTCTCTTTTTGTCCTGATCCATTTATATAAAAACCTGTCTGAAAATGAGCTGATCAGATTTTGGCCACTTTATGATGTCATAATGATGTTTTGGCTTGTGTAACCATTAGCCAATCACCAACCAAGGTAACCCCCCCCCCACCTTATCACCTGAATCTCCTCCTAGAGCACCATTGTGTTATTTTTAACCAAATATCTCTCAGAGGGGCGTGGGGAGTGGCTCCTTATTTTCATCTAAAGTAACAGACAGAGAATCAGCACTTTTGAAACAGGGCTGAAACAGAGGGGATTATGGGATGCTGCAATGATCTGTTTGGTGTTTGGAGCCAAACACTTCAGAGACATGTTTGTATATATCTGAGACCTATAATATATTGATGAAAAACAGTATAATCGGGGACCTTTTAAAAAAAGTGTATGAATATGGAATTAGCCGTCTGTTTGAATGTTTGCCAATGACTTTTATGTTTTGTTTTTGACAGAACAAAAGATGAAGGCGGGCGGGGGAGAGACAGGAAGGATGCGGGTCGCGGTCGGGGTCCGAGAGACAGAGGCAGGGGCCGAGGTCGCCCAGAGGTCATCCAGTCCCACTCTATCTTTGAGCAGGGGCCTGCAGAGATGATGATGAAAAAGAAAAGTAGGAGCTCAGCTGCACTGCCCCTCACTCTGTACTACTTTTCCTTTACTAATGTACATAGTCTTTAAAACCCATGTTTATGATGTCTGGCTTTCCTGTATCTCACACACAGGTGGCTATGAAAATGAGAGAGAGGCTCCCACCGTTGGACCTTCACCCATCATCAATATTAAAAAAGAGAAGAGAGAGACGGAGGAAGAGACAAAAGAGATTCTGGCCAAGTTGGAGAGAGATACCGTAAGTCCCTGGTTGTCGTAATCTTTATTAAGTAGCTTTTATTTAACATTTTACTTCAATTTTTCCTTTTCGAATGCATTTTTCAGTTTATAGACGACCCCTTCCTGAGGAGTGAGCAGAGGAGCTGCCCTGTCCAGCTTCCCCTCGCTGTTTCTGGATGGGGATTCACGGAGGAATTTACTAAATCTCCCGTTAAAATTGAGAAGGTGGAGGATGAGGATGATGATGATGAACCCATGGAACATGCAGTTGAAGGTAACAAGATACACCTCAAAATGATTGTATCTACGTCACAATTTCCATGGTTTGTGAAAGCAGGAAATACAAAACAAGCTTGTTGTCCACATAGCTGCTCTCTCAAATGACGCTTTATTTCCTCTTCAGTGAAACAGGAGCCGGCGGAAACCGAAATAAAGAAATCAGAATCAATGTTCAGGCCCCCTCCTCTCCCTGAGCCGGAGTTTCTTCCCGACCTGCTTCATAAATGGAGTTTGGGGAAAGGAGAGGAGCTGTTCTTCATGCAGATGCCCGACACCCTGCCCGGCCAGCCGCCGACCATGGAGCACAGACCGGTGAAAACAGAGGTGCAGTCGGAGGACGGGCAGTCTGTGCTTCTGAAAACAGAGTCTCAGGTACATATAGTTGTCGTCTACATGTTGAATACATGATGGTGTGGAGAACATGTGTTCAGACGGTATTTATTTATGTTGAACAGGAGGAGGAAGCTGAAGAAAACAACTGTAATCTGAAAGACCTGCGGGAGGGTCTCGTGGGAAAGATGCTGGTGAGGAAGTCCGGCCGGGTCCAGCTCATTCTGGGACATGTGACTCTGGATGTGTCGCTAGGAACATCCTGCTCTTTCCTTCAGGTATGATATTAGTATTGATCAGAAAGCATTCATAAATACAATTCAAAAAGTACAAAAATGCGTTGGTAGTACAAAAAGCAACATCTTCCCGCACAACGGCCCATGCATTATATGTTTAATGTTGCGCCTGGAAGAAAAAAATGTCCCAACTGCAATAGCTACTTTTTTTTTTACTATAAATACTGGGGATGTTGTGAATTTCCCTTGGGGATCAATACACTTTCATTGCAATCAACAAATATACATGCTAAATGATTTGTTAATTATATTTTCTACTATTAATCTGTTGAGTATCTCAAACTGTCAGGTGGAGTAAAATGTACAATATTATTTATATATTATATAAAGTAGCAAGAAATGGAAATATTTAAGTACAGTGCTTGTGCTTGAGTAAACTTACTTAGTCACTGTCTACCACCGGTATTGGTGTCTCTTTCTGTCTGTTTGTTTTCATACTGAATCTGTTATTTATGAAGCACAGCTCTGTTTGTATTCCAGTGTCTTTACACACCACTGTTGTATTATTTATCATAGGGTAAATGTTTATTCTGACATTCCTTTCTCTTCTTTTTTTTCCCTCAGGAGCTGGTCTCTATTCGCTCCGAGGGAAGAACGGGTGACCTGACTATATTAGGGAATGTCAAACACAAAATGGTTTGTTCCCCAGACTTTGAGTCTCTGCTGGAGAGCCGTGCTTGATGCATGTCACTGAGCCCTCTGGATGCACTTGTGGTGGGTTGTGATGTTGACAAGACGTTCACGTTTGATCCTTTGGAAACTGACATCAAATACAAGCAGTGTGGTCATTTATTGTGCTTCTGTGTTTTCAGACTGGCTAACATAATATTGAAATACACTAACTATATATATATGAAACGTATGAAGTTTTTGTGGAAAAGGCATATAAATGCAAGGTCAAAGGTTTAATGGTCTGCCAAATCAGCACTGTTTTCATTTCTTCATATCTGAGAATACTTGAGAAGACTGTACATGGATGTAAATGTGTGAATAAAAAAAAGTATTTGTTAATCCAGTATGTTTGTGTGAAATTGCTTTAAATTCACCCACGTTTTCCACTTTCGTCTAGTGACCATGCAGATGTATTTTTGGTTTAATTACTTAGGTTTGAGATGAAGAAATAGACAACTGCTGAGAACAAGAAAAACTAAATTGAACAAATACAGGTAAAGAATATTAAGGACTATTAATATAGGTAAATATAGGTGTATATAAAAAGCAGTCTTGCATGTCTTACAAGTCAAGTTTTCAGGATTTCGTTTATTTGTAAACTGAAAATAGCAGAAATAAATAATCCATTGCACAAAAGCTTATGTTAGCTGTGTTTTCAATGTATTTGTTTTCATTTAAATGCATCTGTTAAAAGATGCTGTTTAAACCTATGGCTAGCTGATGAAGTGGGTACGTTTTCTGTCACCAAAAAAATAATGCAAAGATTTGATTAATAAATCGACTGTATGGGCTGATAATGATGTGTCTATAAACTATATCAGGAATCAGAAACAGGTTTATTACCAGGTAGGTTGACAAGGAATTGTACTTGGTGTCGTGGTGCATACATAAAGTAAAACAAAAATGTAAAAACACAGATAGCGAACTATTTTAAGAACACTATAATAACATACAAAATAAATAAGAAAACATAGTATAATAAAATAAAGCAGTATTTACATTACATATGCATAAACTGTATTTGTGCAGTCCATTGCGCAATCTTTTAACAATATTTGCAGCGTTTTGACTTTCAAATGTATTTTTTGTTTCATTTGAATGCATATATTGCAGCTCAGTAAATTACTACTGTATCCGCAAATGTACATCAAAACATAGCTCTACAGCGCCACTAGTGGCCATTCATTTTACAAACATAATTAAGAATGTGGGCGCAGTAGCGTGTTGTGTCCAGCAGGGATCGCATCAGAGCAGGGGTTGCTCAGCAGAGGGATGGTGCTAAACACGTAACGACTCTGAGCCGCCCGTTGTCTACCCGTGTTGTTCTCCGGGCGGAGTTTGGCTTCAGTCCTCAAGACAAAGACCAGTTACTGACCGGTGGACGCTTACTATACGGATACAATATATGACGAAGGGTAAGTTAACTACTAACTCTACTAAAGTATATGCTTGTAAACTGTTGGTAGGGATAGTAACCTGTAACGTACCTAAGTTACGCTCATAACAAAAAGGTTGGCTCAGCATTTCATGCGGACCAAGCTAGCTTTACGGAGCACGCCAGGAGACAACATGGAGCACAACCTTTAGCTTGGAGGCTACAAGCTAATTTTACTAATTGAATCATCCGTGGGAGTACATAGGATTTGATTATCAAGACCCACCACTAGATAAGGTTGTGTGAATTACATGTGTGGGGGCTTTTAATGATCCTAGAAAGCGTTAACCGTTAACTGTTGGTAGCATGAATGTATAAAGAGAGAGCGTTGGAGGCGGGACCCCGTTCGTTCCTATGAGAGTGGCTCAGTGGAGCATGATGCTCAAAAGTACCCGTATGTGGGCCCATAGAGCATGCGCATTTGAGTTTTCCTTAAGCCCCGCCTCCGACCTTCATCTCTCGGCTCAGTCAAATGAATGGAGAGAGAAAATAACTCTGAATTCAGCTTTTAGCGCATTTTACAAATGTAAGACCCTCTTGATTTAAACAAGGTCTATACAGCAGTTATTTAGCTACATTAAAAAAATGACGTCACTACCGTTGTAGTACCACAGTTTGGCCACTACGGCCATTCCAAAAATCTGCTTCAACGGGCGGTTCACTTCCTAGGGGCTAGGATGATGCTAGCTAATCCAGTGGATGTTAGCATCACCATAGGAGATAGGGACCGAGGGCCTCTAACGTTATATCTGCATTGTGGCTGATAACAGTAATGTAAGCCGAAAAGCAATAGTGTCCAGTTATCAACAAATTCCAGGGTTAGTGAAAGCGTTTCTTTCCAGATTAGCTTGTGGCTGACACTAACTTTGCACACCTCATACAGATGATAGTGATGATTCCTTCTTGCATTATTGTATTACAAGATATGTTGATATATTGTGAGATGGATCATTCTGACCGTTTGTTTACTTCTTCTCAGGTCTGTTTGCTGCAAAGCCTCAGGATCTGCACCATACAAGGGAACCACCAGCTGTGCCCAGTTGCTTTATGGTTTACATTTCTGTCCCCAGCGGGCAGGCTTTGCTCCAATAGCAAACAGCATCTGCAGACAGGACCTGCCCTTACTTAATCTCAACTGCTCTTGCAAACATTTGCCTGGAATTTCAAAAGAGTTTCAAAACCAATTGGTGGTGAAATAATGATATTCATTGCCCATGAAGGCGACGGCAGGATGGTCACTTGTACTTTTGTTGGTTCTCTCTTCAGTATCAGGAACTCCATCCCGTAGTTATCTTGATGAAGTCCTTTTTCTGACAAAAGATAAAGGCCACTTGGGGTCGGGACGTTTATTGCTACACCTCCTCTGCCCCCTGATATTAACTATTTGATAGACTTCATCTGCCTCCTGACTTCAAGATGGAGCTCTTCTTCAACCCTTTTGACAATTTGGTGTGTATCCTGCTGGGCATCTCCCTCACCGTGTGGTTCACCCTGCTGCTGGTCTTCATCATCGTGCCTGCCATCTTTGGGGTGTCCTTTGGCATCCGGCGTCTTTACATGAAAACGTTATTAAAGCTCTTTGAGGTAAGTGCTTTTTTATCTTAAGGTGTGTTTTCCTGCACACAGTCATAATGATGTCTTCTGCCCCTCCTACACCCTTTAACTCAACAAACCTTAGTTTGTCACAGTTGTTGCTTGTTCTTCAAAGACAGGCTCTATTTGCGTTCACTGTACATTTTGTCCAACCTTTTAATCAATATTTAAACAGTTGTGTTTGCTTCTGGGCTTTACACATGTGCTTGTCTGATATGTTCATCTCAGGACATTGGTCAGAAGCAGACTCTATGCTCGTCTTTAGCATCCAACCACCGACCATTGTATTGAAAAGCTGCTGCAGATTAGCATCACAGAGGCATTCCTCCCTTGTTCTATAACCAGAGAAATCAGTCGTACAGACCTTGTCAGTAACTGTTGTCTGTGACACGGCTCCAACAGCCTGGGGTATTGCTTACTGCTATGAGGTTTTCACTTTCGCAAATTGAGGTTGAATCACCAGTGATGCATCAGCTTTATTGTGCAAATGAGAAGCTCTTATGTCCAGATAATTGTATTTACAAGTTTATGGTTTTGTTGCCATATTGACTTCAGACACAGTTATCCAGTTCTCCTCCTTCTGCTATCTCTGGTGTAGTGTACCACTGAGAGCAGGGCTTTGGCCAGAAATAAATGGTCCAGTGGGAGATGTGAGAGATGTGAGAGACAATCTTAGCTCATGATTCCTGCTGCAACCATGACATTAGAGAAAAGGTCAAAGGACAGATTTAGTGCAATATCAGACTGACACACCACTATGTTTTCTGGTTAGTACAATTTGCCAATGTGTCAGTGCTTGCAAAGGTATCCATTTCAGACAAGACATACTATGGCAATTTTGTAACAGGCTGCTAGAAGATAGTTTGTGTCGCTGTTAGCCTATCAGTGTGACAAGTATCACTATTTCCTGCTCATTGAAGTTACTGAGGCCCAGGCTCCACGGGAACGCATACGGCAAAACGCATAGGATTAACGCAAACGCAATCGCCAAAAAGCTTCCGCCCACACGCAATATACACCGGATAGTGTCTGCCCACATGAGACAGCTCCGTTTAGATCCAACCGCTGGAAAAGCTGCAGTACATATGCCGAGCCTGTACGTGGCGCTGTAACTTCCTCCACAAAAGCAGCAACTTCCTCCACAAAAGCAGCGAAGAAGAATGGTTGTCATGGCTGCACTTCTGTTTATTCTCCGCGGTGGGGGCGGAGGGAACCGCGCAGAGTTTTTTCGCCGGTCAACGTGTGTTAAAGTTTAAATCTTCATGCTTCCTCATGCAGCAGCTGATCCAGTAAGTAAACCCGACAGTCAAAATAAACATATTTATAACTAGTTTAGGTAGTTTGAGAGGTAATTAAAATAGCTAAGGGTGATGATCTGACTTGGAAGTGTGTGTTTTGCTCCCGCTGCATCACAGCGGGAGGAGCTGCGTGTCTCCGTCCTGTCAGATTAGACTTCACTCGCGTTTATGTCCATATCGAGATAAAGATAAATAATCTGATTTCAGTGTGCAGTGTACTTTTGCGGGGGTGAGCAGCAGAGGCGGGGAGAGGCGGGGCTATTGCGTCGTCATTATCACAAACGGATGACCGTATAGGCTACCACACGGCCCCGTTGGACCGTTGTCATTTGCAGGGTCCGTTTCTACCGTTCCGTTACGGCGTCGTGTAGCTTAAAGGGCTATACGCAAGAGAAATATGCGGATACAACCCGTTTTCGTTCCCGTGGAGCCTAGGCCTTAATCTAACACTTGTGATATGGATATGTGGATAGAATGTTGTCTTTCACATGCAGCTCTGAAGCCACATTTATTTTGTCACCATTTCCTAACCAGCTTTCTGTGCTCCTCCTCTCTCAAGCCAAAGAATCATTACTGTCAACTGAAGCATAGACTCAGTATTACATCTTGCCACAACACGATTTAAAGGTAGCTGAAAAAAAGGGAAAGGAATGGCCAAGAATGTGAATGCCTATTCTGTCGGAGTAATTATTGCCACCTGAGTAATCAATCATTTGCATAACACTGCTTTGGGCTGAATGTCTTTAGGCTTCAAAAAGTCCACTTCTTCCGACACAGTAAATCTCTCTCTCTTTTTTCTTTTAAGTTGGTAATTATCGTGTACCTCAGACACATTATCCTAGAAAAAACTATTCCAGTTTGCTGCCCAAAGTTGTTGCAAAGTAAATTGTAAAAATATGCCTATTTTGCAACATGGCTTTTTCAAGCGGTCTCTCAAAATTCTTTAAATTCTTAAAATGTTTACAGACTCATGCTACTTCTAGTGTTTCTGGCAAATATGCCTGCTTACCACGACTGCATTTGAATATACTAGCATTGATGCAGCCTTGTTGAACTGTTGCCTATCAATGTTTGGTGCAGACAGACCTTTTTGATTTATCATGTGCTGTGGTATGAACTGTGAAACACATCTCTCACCTCCCAGTCCATACATTCCTGATCTTTCCTGCTTGTCAGGCAGCTAGAACACTGTGTCCTTTTCCTGCCACTCAGTGGACACTACCGGTTTAAGGGTGTACCGATTGAAGAATAAGAAGTGGTAAAGTTACTGTCTAACAGCACTGTGGTCACAGATAAGCACGCATAGTGTTGGCCCAGGGTTAGGTCAACTTCTGTAAATGTGGAATCTTGTTTCCTCCAGTTTCGCACCCTGATGGTTACTGACATTAACAAATACACAGATAATAGAGAGATAATCATTAGAAAACTTGAGCAGGAAGCAGCTGCGTCTGATTCAAAAGAATAATTTGTGTGTTTCAGTTATTTGAATGCTCACATTTAGGTCAGATATAACAACTGCTTGTTAATAGTGGCAGCTGGTTGCTACAAAACGTGTTGCTTGCTGGCTCCCCTACCTTTTCTAAATGTTTTTATGAGAGCATGTTGTTGCTGAAACCAAATGCTATATTTCTTGTGTTTTTACTCACCCTTTTGTTCTTTCTTTATAGTGGGCCACACTTAGGATAGAGAGAGGAGCGAAAGAAAATAACCACCACTTGCACAAACCCTACTCGAATGGTAAGATGTGTTTTTCAGTATGCATGTTGAAGAGATTTGTATGTTTTAGAGACTGGGTATGGCTGACATCCTTTCTCTCTCTGGACTGTTTCAGCTATCATTGCCAAGGAGCCCACCTCCTTGGAGGAGGAGATTAAGGAGATCAGGAGGAGCGGCAGCAACAAGGACCTGGACTCAGCCTCCGAGTTTGAGATGTCTGACATCTTCTACTTTGCTCGGAGAGGGGTGGCGAGCATCATGGACGATGAGGTGACGAAGCGGTTCTCTGCTGAGGAGTTGGAGTCCTGGAACCTGTTGACTCGCAGCAACAACAACTTCCACTACATCAGCCTGAGGCTCACCGTGCTGTGGGGGCTGGGCCTGGTGTTCCGCTACAGCTTCCTGCTGCCTCTCAGGTAGAGCAGGACCCAAAACATGGAGGCTGTCTTTTTAGAAGAATAGCCACACATGTGTTCAAGGAAAAGTGAACACATACAGACAGGGCCTGCAATGGATATACAATACAATGAAACATCATTTGATACAAAATGCCATTGTTTGGTATATTTATCAAATGTAACAATATTATTACACTTGCATCAAATACAAACCAACACAGTGAGATGGTGTGACTCAACTAAAATATAAGCCTGGGAGGTATTGTCACCATACAAGCCAGTCCGGCCACAGAGTTAAAGACTGGAGGCAATCCCAGCATGCATTACACATAAGCTCTGTCAAAGGACCAATATATTTACAAAAGATCAATGGATTTGGGCAGACTGCATGGGGTTTTCAGACTGCTCCATAACACACATGTAATTAAGTGTTGGCACACGCAGAGAGTTAAGGAGGGAGATCCTCAGTCAGGGTCAGCTTATCCACTCACAGGGGCGGTGACTCAGTCCTAAGCCTGGCTGGCTCACTTCCAGTTGCCAGTGGGGAGACGAATCAGGCCACCGCTGCACAGACAGACACCATTCTAGTCTGCCATCCACTTAATAGATTCTCTCATTCAGTTATTGTCTAGTTAAATAGCGACCTGGTTTACTCACTAGCTTCATGCCTTCATCTCTCTAGTGTTTGTTTAATCCTCGACCAATTTAATCAGCACCATCTCCAACCCTGCATGATCGGTTCATCCAGATTATTGCGACCTGTTTAAGCCAATTTAATCATCTCCTGCAGGGTCACTGACAGTTTGGGACAGAGTGTGAATCTTTACATTGAGGACCCTGCAGCCCTGGATAGCGTTACGCATGACCTTTACATGTCATCTGAGCGGTACCTCGGGGGAAGGTTGTAGCACAGGAGGAACCTTTTTAGGCGCCGTTTACACGAGGAGAAAACTGCTTGTATCTGCATAGTTTCGCGTGCGTATAGCCCTATTATTTACACGAGGCCGATAGAAACTGACCCCACAAACGTTAACGGGTCCCAAGGTGGATAGATTTGCAAACGAAACGCTCTGGGGGGTCAACAGAGTCCGTGTAATCACCTCGATACGAATATTTCCTGAAAAAATAGCGATAGCCCCACCTCTCCTGCTCACTGCTGTAGCAACTATCAAAAATAGCTGTGTTAATTAAGCACAAGGGGTTCTTGAATGAAATAATATTATAAAAGGCAAACCAGAATTGTTAACGCTCAATATACTCCTTAAACAAAAATAAACAGAGTCAGATTTCATGCATTGATCCATTATATTGACAATTTTTCAGCCAAACAACACAAACAAAATTAAACAGTCCGCTCTGCGATACACCAAACTTGTCTTTACTGCCTAATCCAGGCCATTATTGTTCATTGCTCCTGCGCCCGTCGGCGGCAAAAAGAGAAATGTTTGTAGGCAGAGGACCGGCGTGTCCCAGAGGAGCGATCTCACCCGGTGTTTGTAGAGAATATCTCTCTTTCTGAGCCGTCCTCTCCACAGAGACGTGCTTCTTGGTCGGTCGATGCAATATCCACAGATTCGGTTTCTTTCAGTTAACTTCCCCGTTGCATTTATCCATATGCTGAGGAAATTACTATATCCCGCTGAATACCAGCAATCGCCACACACACTTCCTCCTGTCAGTAGCTACTGCTAGTGCTACTGCTACTGACCATGCTACAGATATTAGTGCAAAATCTACAGCTCCTCTACCACAACCATCAGCAACAAGTGGACATGGAGAATTACATGAACTACATGTTGCTAAATCCAGCGCGGGGCATAAACAGAAGGGTAGCCATGGCAACATTGCGGCGGGGCTGCTCGGGCTGCTCTTCTTCGCTGCTTTTGGTGTATTTTGGCGGAAGTTACAGCACCACTTACAGTCCCGGCATATGTACTACAGCGTTTCCAGCGGTCTCGTTTGAACAGACACGTTAAATGAAACGAATGCATGTGAACGGAAGACTTTTTTGAATACGCATACTGTGCATAAACGCAAACGTTCCCGTGTGAAGGAGGCCTTAGGGTTTAGGATCATGTTCTTGCCTTTTTAACTCTATTCAAATGCTAATTAGTTTTAAAAATGTTAAACCAAAAAGGGGAATCCTTCCTCCTGAGGTTGCTTGTTGAAGGTTTCCCTGCTGTAAGATTCTGTCCGTCTATCTTTCAGGGTAACTCTTGCCTTCACTGGTGTAGGCCTCCTTGTGTTCCTCACCTGTGTTATCGGGCTGCTGCCCAATGGAAGGTAAGTCAAGCTGGTCTTTTGATCAAATAAATAGATTTTTGGTTTTGAAACACAATGGGGGGGGGCGTGTGGTGTAGTCAGTGGACTAGTGCGTTGGTGTTCGGATCAGGAGGAGCACAGGTTCAAACCCCACTGCAGTCAGCATGTCGTTGTGTCCCTGGGCAAGACACTTCACCCCAAATTGCTCCTGTGGGGATTGTCCACAGTATTGAGTATGTAAGTCGCTTTGGATAAAAGCGTCTAACAAGTAACATGTCATGTAATGAACATCATGATGTATCTTATTCTTGCAGGTTGAAAAACTTTCTGAGTGAGAAAGTCCATCTGATGTGCTACAGAATATGTGTCAGAGCTCTGACTGCCATCATAACCTACCATGACAGGTAAGAGAACTACGCTTTTGTTTTTACACCTCTTTAAGTTATGTGACTATTATTTGTTTGACTCATGATAGAACAGTATTTTAACACAGCAGAAGTGAACTACGTGGCTAAAGGTTTACAGTCGGATAAGATAAGGATGTGAAAAGGGGGAACTGAAGCACATGCGGGACTTATTCGGTCTTGAATAGGCTCTGAGAGACTGCATGCAAACACACGAGACATTTCGACACACAAGGTTATTAAATTAGGTCAGATGCTATATGTGCGGTAATTATGTCAACAGAAACAATGAGAGCTGAACAATGATCCGTAAAAGTAGTCATAGCAGCCTGACCTGTTTCCAAAAACCATAAAATGAAGGTTGGGAAACACACCTGTTTATTTATTTTTTTTTTAGAAAGCTCATTATTTACAAAATATGTTAAATCCACACAGTGTAGCATGCGGTTAGGTTTTTCTCTTTATACGGATGGTTGCAACGTTCCTGCAATACCCATTCCTAGCTGTTGGCTCCTTATCATCCCCACGAGCTGTTTTTGCCACCAGTTAGGTCAATCTTTGCTATTCGGGTCAGCATGTTGGGGGCTGCTGCTAGTTGATAGGTTTAAGGTTTTAACACTGCAGCCCAAGTCACTGACTTCTCAACTTCCTGGTCGATTTCTCAACTTCTGTTCTATTTTTGTATTCTCACTTGACGGCCCAATCAAGTTCTCCCTGAAATGACTATAGATGTGATATATTATTTTGTTCCTTTTACTTTAAGCAATTCTAATCCAATACCATTTTGATAAAAATCTGTGAATATCTCCTCATTAGAGATGTCCCGATCCGATCACGTGATCGGGGATCGGAGCCGATCACGTGATTTTCAAAAGATCGGAATCGGGAGAAAAAATCGGGGATCGGGAATTTTAATTTTAATTTTAATTTATTTTTTATAAAATATTTTAATTATTTTATTTAATGTTACAAAACAAAAATGACCATGTTCACGTCTTAAAGTCATCCTGAGGCCTTAGTTTTGGTTTAAAATTACACAACATCATGTATGTGTTGCTTCTTTTGGGCTTGTTTTCATAGACCTGGTTGCTTATTTCTCTCAAATCTGGCAACAGAGTGGGCAGGGCGCAGTGTCTAATAGTAGCAGTAAGCTAACAAGAGGCTACGTTCAGCTGGTGACTCGGGAGTCGGGACAGAGAAAATGTCAGGAGTTTGGAAGTATTATAAAATTGAAAGCGAAGGCAGTGTAACAGCCAGATGCAATGTTTGCAAGGCGGAGGTTCCGCGTGGTGGAAAGAACAGAGCTACGTTCAACACGACCAATATAATACAAACACCAACAACAACATGACGAGTACAAGGCGGCCACTCAGGTAACGGCACTGAAACAACCTTTTTTTTCTCTTAATGCATTGCATAAAGATCGGATCGGGAAAAATCGGTATCGGCAGATTGTCAAAATCAAATGATCGGAATCGGATCGGGAGCAAAAAAAGGTGATCGGGACATCCTCATGGTCTGCTAGCTTTCCGCTCTGTCCGCTGAAAGTAACCTTGGTGTTCATACACTGCACTGGCTCTTGAAATGGGAAACAAACAAAGCAGAACAAACCACACAACAATATTTCAGGGGGCGTTGAAGATTGTTCACAGGATTATGGGTGTAAAAAGTGAAAGGCAAACCTTGATGCAGGAAGGGAGGATCTGTGTTTTGTCTTTAAACATCACTGATCTTTCCAGAATCACGGCCCTAACTTAAATAACTAATTCATGTAGTTACATATCTAACATGGTTATGGCTTTGCAAAAAAGTCAATTTCAAACGTGTAGCAGTTGGATATTGACTTAAATAAATAACGTTTGTGACAAAGCTCTGTTCTGATGTTCACTTTTTCATTGTAGGGTTAGGGTTAGGGATAGAACACAGAATGACAGCTTGATGTTATAGGAAATGTTTTGTTAACAAAGTTTTATGCAAGGTAACACACATTTCAAGAGAATGCATGTTGCAACTGATGGCTTTCCAAAGGCCTTGACATCTAAGCAGCTTCCTTCTGAAAAAAGTTCTCACAGAAATAATATAAAAAGCACAATATAAAAACTCCACACCACTCAAATGCAGCTCGTCTTTGCCACATGGTCCCACTACTCTTTTCAAACGCTGTTGCCGTGACAGGGGTCTACGTCAGGTGACATAATGACAGATGAGTTATCTCTGGAGAGCAGAGATAACTAGATAACTATTAGCACTCGCCGTACGAGCACCCAGAGTGTGAAATATGAAGGGGAGCCGCCTCAGGCTACTTTCATATTCATTGACTTGAGCCTAAGTGAAGCACAAAACCCTGTGGATACATCTTTCTCACACCAAAGCCTAGGCACACTTTAACATCAAACATGAGGATTGTAGCTGCTGAATTCACATAGTCACATCATTTGCAATGACATGCTTAACTATCAAGAATGCATCCAAATGTGGGCACTGGTGGATATCGGTAGGGAACATTTTCTTCTAAATGAGGCTTTTATTATTTAGATAGGGCAGGGTAAGAGTCTAATGGCGCATTTCCATTGCAGCGCGTAGCTCGCTTTAAGCGTGCCGTGTCGTGCCGTCCCCTTTTTTGGTTGTGCTTCCACTAGGCCTCGTTCCGGCGCGGCACGGCGCGGGGCCACTTTTTCCCCTCTTTTCTGGCCCTAGAAAATTGTGGTTCTATCGGGGCCAACAAACAGGGCTGAGTCGAGCTGAGTATGCTAAACTAGAGAGAGGAGCGCTGGCAAGAGGGCTAGAACTACAACAAGATGGACATATTTGACCGTGATTTAATTGTAATACACGTTTCAAAATGATGCCGAAGTAACAACATACTGATACCGGTTAGTAAAAACCATGAATTAATGCTTTGTCAAGTCTGCAGACAGACGGCAGGCGAAAAACCTTTTAAAATTCGTGTTTTTCTAGATGGAGATTGGCTAAGCTAACGCAGTATATGCTCCGACCGTCCACACTCACAACAACGGCCTATACAGACATAAATACAGCAGCGACTGTATTCACCATGACACAGGCAGTCTGTGGTGTGTACTTGTTTAACTTTTGTCGAGTTTCTGAACATATATAAGGAGCTGTGAGCTCTGAGTGCTCACAGCTAACGGCTGTGTTGTGTTTCTGGATTTCTCATTGAAGATGACGTCACGGCTCCGCCTACACTGCGTTACTATAGTAACTACCCCAGTTCCTAAACTGTAATGGAAGCGCAGCATGAAGTGAGTCGGCCCTGTTAAGGCCCAACGCGGCCAAGCCGTACCGAGCCGTACCGAGTGTGGCCGAGGCTGACCGTGTAGTGGAAATGCGCCATAGGAGGAACATAAAGAGGCTTTTATAAGCACATGCAACAGGATATGGAGGAGGAAGTTGATGCTTTAAGTGTTTGCCAACTGTAGTCTCTTACAGCTAAATTGTCATTTGAGTACTTGGTTTCTGAAATTGCTCATGGTTTTGCTGATTATTTGATCATATCTTAAGATGCCAAACACATTACAAGTGGTTTCTTATTTTAAATTGCACTACAATGACTTGGCTTGTACGGAGAAGTAACTGACCGATCAGAACATGATGAAATATGATCATTTATATCTTTACATTCAAAGGTGAAAAACACATTGAAATACAAAAAAACATACTCGATATTGAACATTTTTTACGACTATCTCGGCCAAAGTAATTGTGGTTAACAATATTATCCTGATAATCATTCAAACTCCTTAAATGGCACTTAAACATAACAAAATCTCTTTAAGTTATGTTTGTTGAGAGATATTTTATCCCATCACCGACTTAAAGGTGGGGTAGGTAATTCACTTCAGAAACACTTTTTGTTATATTCCATGGAATGCTCTTAACATCCCGATAGCAATGAATAAATGAAATGCTTTGACAATAAATACATAAAAACATTTCATCTGTGGAAGCCGTGGCGCTGTAAAAAGCACGACCAATTATTTTCACTCCCGGCTAAAATGCCCTCATTGGTCATGTGCGCGTTCGTGTGTGTTGGAGGAGGGGCTCTGTAAGGAAGTCTGAAGGAAAGGGCAGATTTCTTTCGGCTGCGTACTTTCAAATTCTAGCGCACTCGAGCTGGTTTCTCCAATCTTACCTACCCTACCTTTAAACAGATATTTTTTTGTGAAAAACAATCGGTCTCAAATAAGGTAAACGGGTTCTCCTGCATATATAAAAGATAAAACATCTTGAGTCTTACTCACATAATAAGTATTTTATTATAAGGCTACATTTTGCATTTGTCTACCATGATAGTGAGTCTTCTTAAGTCACTTGTGAGGAAATGTACAGTTATTCATACATCAAACAGATCACCAAGACAGCCTTCTTCCACCTCAAAAACATCGCCCGTCTACGTCCATCCCTCTCCCCCACTGCCGCAGAAACCCTCACCCACGCTTTCACCACCTCCCGTGTGGACTATTGCAACAGCCTCCTCTATGGTTCACCTGCAAAAATCCTCAACAAACTCCAATACATCCAGAACTCCGCCGCCCGTCTACTCACCCACACCCGAATCCGTGAACACATCACCCCCGTCCTCATCAAGCTCCACTGGCTCCCCATCCCCCAGAGAATTCAGTACAAAATCCTCCTGATGACGTACAAAGCCCTCCATAACCTGGCCCCACCCTACCTGATTGACCTCCTCCACAGACACACTCCCACTCGCTCCCTCCGCTCTGCTGCTGCCAACCTCCTGTCCTGTCGTCATCCCCCCCCCCCCCCCCCAACCCGGACCAACCTCAAGTCCTGGGGCGGCAGAGCCTTCTCCGTTGCTGCACCCACCCTCTGGAACTCACTACCCCAATCCATCTATTCTTCCTCCCTCACAGCATTCAAAACATCACTCAAAACCCACCTGTTCAACACTGCATTCAACCACTGACCACCCCCCCCCCCCCCCCTATTTTCTGTTTTGTTTATCTCTTTTTGTATTTTTTATATTCTCTGTCAAAGCGTCTTTGAGTGTCAAGAAAAACGCTATACAAGTATTATTATTATTATTCAGAGAAGAAAAAATGATTAGGGTTTTTATCACGAGTAGCTATAAAACCCTTTATTGCCTCAGCGCTCGGTGAGACAATGATTAAAGTATAATGTCTTGCAGCCTTCTGGATGTGTTCCATGAAGGCCAGGTCTGTTGTATCGCTCTCTACTCGAGGGCTAAAAATACACAAGTTACAGAGAAAGCATAGCTCTCTCTTTCTCTCTTGAAGATCTCTATCTTTGGTCTGTGCAGTCAGTGGGTTCACGACCTGCGTGCTCTGGGTGTCAAATCTTCAAACATAACCACCACGAGTTGCTTTGTTTCTCCCAACAAGACTGTGAGAATCTGGTCAGAAGCTAACCCACTTTTTATACCGAGCGTATTGTTGACTCTTGATTGTTCATTGTCATATTGTTCATTGTATTTTAGACGCTTGCTTTTTAGTTCTTGATATTGAATCCTCTAGGAAGTGCCTTCGTAATACCCTGCTTGACAGTGTTCCTTCGTTTTTACAGTGAGAACAAACCCAAGAAGGGAGGCATCTGTGTCGCCAACCACACCTCACCCATTGATGTCATCATCCTGGCCAGCGATGGCTGCTATGCTATGGTAATAATACTGATGATTAGCAGGAAGCGAGAAACACATTGACACTGGTCCCTGTTTCCACTGCAGCTGTTTGTCTGTTGAAATCAAATTACATCTGTGTTTGTTTTGTGTCGTCAGGTTGGCCAGATTCATGGCGGCTTGATGGGGGTTATTCAGAGATCTATGGTCAAGGCCTGCCCGCACATTTGGTTCGAACGCTCAGAAGTCAAAGACCGACATCTAGTGGCCAAAAGGTAACAGTTCACCCCTTATTTTTATGCCATGTTTTGTCATTGGACAGCTTTTCTTCCTTCATTGAGATGCTTTTTGGCATTCAGCTAGAGTTGTTGTGTACACAAAGTACATTTTAATATTGAATTTGACTGTCTTTTTTGTCAATTCAAATGTTGTCTCTGTCTCAAAATGACTTATTAACCTTCATACTTTTTATATTACAGATTGAGTGACCATTTAGAAGTTAAAACTAAACTTCCAATTCTAATTTTCCCAGAAGGTGAGTTAGTTCAATGATTTTGTACGGATGATAAAACCTCATAATCAAACTATTGTCATCTTGTTTTTACTATAAAAAGTCTTAATTGAACTTCTCTAAATCCTTTGAATCCCCAGGGACCTGCATCAACAACACGTCAGTTATGATGTTTAAGAAAGGCAGCTTTGAAATTGGTGGCACTGTCTACCCTGTGGCCATTAAGGTACGGCGTTTTCCGTTCTATTTTATGAGGTGTTATTTGTACCTGCTACGTCTTATTTTAACCACGTACATGTGTCTGTTTGTTTCAAATACTACATGTATTGAGTTTACATTGTGCTGTGTTTGATGCTTACAGTACGACCCTCGATTTGGAGACGCCTTCTGGAACAGCAGCAAGTTTGGTATGGTCAGCTACCTGTTGCGTATGATGAGCAGCTGGGCCATCGTCTGCAGTGTGTGGTACCTCCCCCCCATGTCCAGAGAGGTGAGACCTCATGGTGAACTCAAAGCTTCCCAACAGATTCATTTTTCTAGAGTGGCGAGAGCAAAGCTTATCAATTTGGTGCATTCAACACTTATAATTCAATGAGTATTGCTTTTATTTATTGATTTTTTTTTTATTTAGTGATATAGGAGTTACAAGACAAGTGCATACAAGTACAGTGTCACAGATACACAGAAGACAGTAAGGTGCATTTACAAGTAAAGACAAATAACAAATTACAAAATATACATGGAGAAAGAAACAAACTGTGTGTTTGAGGGATAAATGACAAAATTATAATTAAAATGGTGTCCTAGAGGGGGTGGCATGTAAATAGTAGCATGACCTTAAAGACCTTAAAGAAGTAGAAAGGGGTGGTGGCTGATATCGGAATGAGGATTATGAATTACATTTGAGTTCCAGATTGCATCTATAGATGAGTAACACATGCGTCACTTCCGGGCAAAAATGACGGCTCCGCCCACTTTTGGGGGGAAACAATGCTGACATTTGAATGGCGGTCAATACAAATTCTGAAGTTTTTGCCAATCAGATCAGAAATGTAAGAAAACCGTGGATTTTTGGATCTTCAAAGAGCCCGATTACAATGGCCAGTCAGGCAAACAATTACATTAAATCATTGGAAATCGACGAGCGGGCTCGATATATGGTTAAATATAGCAGTAGGCGATCGATGTCCATAGATGAGAGTAACATCTACGTCACTTTACGGCCCCGTCCACTTTTGGGGGAAACAACGCTGTCATTTGAATGGCGATCAAGCCTGAAGCCACAGAGCTCTTCTGTTACTGTCCGTTTTTCTCAGAGGAAGTACAGAAACACGTAACTCTGGATTTGTTTTAATGTTTGAGGTGCAATAAACGACACAGCAGCTTTTTGGCATGATAAAACTATTATTTCCCGCCTCGCTCATGAGAGTAACAGCTGGAGAAATTACGGCCTCGCCTACTGATTTTAATTTAACCATATATCGAGCCCGATTGTCGATTTCAAATGATTGAATGTAATTGTTTGCCTGTCTGGCCATCGTAATCGGGCTCTTTGAAGATCCAAAAATCCACGGTTTTCTTACATTTCTGATCGGATTGGCAAAAACGTCAGAATTTGTATTGACCGCCATTCAAATGACAGCGTTGTTTTCCCCCAAAAGTGGGCGGGGCCGTAATTTTCGCCCGGAAGTGACGTAGGTGTTACTCTCATCTATATCAGTGGTTTGTTTTTTTATGCCAGCAGATAATTTTTCCATTGAGTATTGCTTTTATAACTGAGAGTAGAGATGTTGTTTCTCATTAGTGGTGTCATGAAAGGCGCCTAAAAATAAAAAATGTTATTATTAGTTTTGCCCACTTGTTTTCCTGTGTTATTCATGCCACCTTTCTCCAACAGGAGGATGAGGATGCTGTTCAGTTTGCCAACCGTGTAAAGGCAGCTATCGCCAGGCAAGGAGGACTGGTCGACCTCCTGTGGTGAGACCCATTCACTTCAGTGCTCTCCACTGCTTTCTCCCACTAACCTGATGACTGACAAGAGATTATAAACATTGCCTTAACATATGTGACAACCCAGACTGCTGTAGTTTAACGACAGTTTGAAGTGACGTTGTAGGAAAAACACAGGTGTGATCAATTCTATTAATAACTACTATTTATACAGGAGATCCAGTCAAGGGGTGTCATGTATTTTCACTAATTTGCAAGGATTTATTGGGCCTCAAAATAGAGCTGAGCCATAGAGTGCCACAGTGACGCGTCCTAAAACCCGGAAGTAAGTTAGCATTTTACCACTTCCGGTTCCTTCGCCAAAAAGCAATAACAATTGCTATGAAAGTTTACGCAACCATCGTTTTGCAATCATTCTAAGATGACTTGCTACGAGTCAATGATTTATCAAAGTATAGTAATAACACTTAACAATATTTTAACTCAGTCCAATATTCTTATATGTTGTCCACATCACTGACACATATGGTAAAATATAATAGATATAGTTAAAATATAACATACCATTTTTACATTTGACAGTTTGGCCTTTCAATCACAGGTGTTTCCAGTAATATGAATTAAGGCTGCCTTCCTCTCCGACTCCGAGTCTTCTGTTTTGTTTCACCTAATACATTCCTACCATCGTTAGCATTGTCACACTGAAAATGCAAAAGGGCTTATGCTGTTCAGTTTATTACATCAGAAGCACTGTAACAAATCACCATGAGGATACATTTAACATGTCTTCAACAAAATGTGGACAAACCCTTTGAAAATATGAAATGCTACAAAGTTTGTGTTAAGTTAAAGACTGTCAAACTGTATTGTAATGAAACTGATAGGAGTTTCAGTTTTTCATGTCAACTCGGTGTATAGACAAATCATATCAAGTATTTTGCAGCAACGTGAACACGACGTGTGTTATGGAAGCTATTTAGACCAAATCTGCTACAGAATATTAGTGAATTGCATTTTGTACACTTAATACCACAATATAAACATTACAAAACACTGCTATACAACATGTGCAATATTATTATTATGAATAATGTTCTATAAATAACGTGCAATCTACCACGACGTTTTTTGCACTACTAAATACTGTTAATATTTACATTAATTATGTGACCATCTATGTTTCCTGTAGATCACATGTGTCAAACTCAAATCAGGCCCTTTTCATTTCGGCCCGCAGGATAATTTCGAATTCCTATTAGATCTGGCCCGCCGGTATATTGCACGCACACCTTCACTCAATCCTGAGGATCTCCTCAGCTCAGAGCCTGACCCCAAACATTGATGAACTTTCACCCAAGATGAGATGCCAAGTATCTGGCTTGAACTAGCATCACAGAGCAGCACACTGAGTTTAACGGATGTTTCCTTCTGCACTTTCTTTCTTGCGACAACAGGGCATGTTTGTTTGTTCTTTGAGGAAAATAGTTTGTTGAAGCTGTTGTTGGCCTGTGGGAAAATGTAATCATAAGAAATGACTCCGGAGAAGCTGCAGATAGAGCCATAAGAAATGAATGCAACTGATTATTTAATGTTGTTTTTATAGGCAATAATTTAAGCTTTGTTAGTTCCAGGTTTAATATGTGCAATAATTTCATTTCAATAAGTTTTGCAATAAACATTGAACCAGTCCGGCCCTCGACTAGTACCCATTTTTTAATTTTGGCCCACTGTGTATTTGAGTTTGACACCCCTGATGTAGATATTGAATTGCTCTTTTTACTGCTGTACAGTTGTATTATTATTATTCTCCTGTGTTTATTGTATTCTTGTAACTCTGGCACAACAATTTCCTTCGGGATAAATAAAGTCCTATCTTATCTTATACATGGTGACTCATTTTAAACTCTCTTGCAGGGATGGAGGCTTGAAACGAGGCAAGGTAAAAGAAACCTTTAAGGAGGAGCAGCAGAAGCTGTACAGTAAGATGCTGGTGGGGACCCAGGAGGACCGCAGCCGCTCCTGAAGGACCTCTGGAGGAGGACTGGCTCACTTCGGCTCCTCTGACTAACTCGGCAGTCAGCAAGGCTCCTCGCTACTGGAGCTCTTGGACTGGACAATTCCCTCTCTGATGTCAACAGTACTCCATTTGGCTTCCTCGGTCACTGCCTCAGACGGGCGTGTTCAGTCTGCGTCGCTCTTACGGGTCACTCTGAGTCCGCTGCCCTTCGTTGGAATAGCTTGACTGAAGCCTGGCTTGCATTAGAATGAAATTATGGTGCGAACACAAAAGAAGCGTCGTCTTCCATGTTGGCAGTCTTTTGAGGGAAAACTTGTATTTTTTATCTTTAACTGAGTTCCTGTACTTTTTTTTTGGTAGTTTCAACATTTTAATTTTACCGTCATGTTCGTCCCACACTATGTTAACGTTACAGAGCTCATCCACACCTGGGACATAGAAGACAGTTACTGTCTAGTCTGTTCTGATGCTAAAACCTGTGACTGAGTTTGGGTTTCGCATGACTGGCCTCTGCCCGTGATTTAGGGCATAATGCCAGCTTTTGTTACATTTCAAATATTTGTATGGGCTTTTTCCAAGAGAGAATAACTTGGGTTTTAAGCTCTGTGTTTTACATTAAGACTTGTATCAACACATGTGGTCACTATATGAGTTACATTGCAGATAAGCTCTTGGTATGTTATCTGTTTCTGTGTTTCTTCCATGGAATGTGTAAATGATCACATTATGAAATGAAATTGTGTACCTACAGTTACTCTGATGAAGGTTCATGGATTAAGGGAGATTTTTCCAAATGTTCTCGGGCAAAATGCAGCATACCTAACTGGAGAAAAAGGTTTTATAGTCAATTCATTGTCCCTTTAAGGACCATTGCACACAAGTATGTAGGATAATTCACAATTTGTCTCTTGACTAAAAACACATTAATACACTTCCTAACAGGCATCATGTTCTACCGTAGCTTCCTGCCTGTGCAGTGGCCATCTTGCCTAATTTATTTTAAGTGAACACTAAAAGTTATTGTCTTAATTTTCTCCCACATCAGTGGTCTTTCTCCTGTTTGGCAGCCTCCCTGCGGAGAGTGCAGCTGTAGTTTGGACTCCCTGTACGGCTCCATGTGAGGGACTCGGGGACCTCGGGGGTTTCTCCCTGAGGCCCCGATCCCTTTTGTTTACTGTGATCGGGAACAGTTCTCTAGTGTTACATCTGTTCATCAAATAAATGTGCAAGAATGTGTCTCTACCTTTTGACTTCAGGGGTTTTTGTGCCTTTCACACTGTTGGTTGTGCTTGTTATCCTCCGATGCACAAAGGGCTCTGAAGCAAATGAAACCAGAAGTCTCATGACATGGCAGCAGATATGTGTACAATAGAGATTGTTTTAAGGAAATACATGTCTGTGGTTTCTACAATCACAAAAACAAAACACCTAAGCATTGCAAATTTAAATTGGACAATAACAATGCTGCAGGGTGAGCTAAACACTAAATATGTGCAAGTTAAGTTCAATGAATAGCTAATTGCACAAAATTATAAATATGACATTGGAAGTTTCCATTGTATACTTTATTTGCTATTTTTAGAATTTGATGTTTTTGCTCCAAAACAAAATTGTTGCTCGTCTGTGCTATTCTATGCAAGCCACGACTGATAACATTTCCTGTCTTACTTTTTGTCCAGTAGGCACCAAGCTGCTATAACACAGCCTGGCATGCAGACTGGGTTTTTATAATTAGTATTTATTCCCTAGCGTACATTGTACTCAGGGCCCAGTCTAAATAGTATCCCTTTCCCTGCATGTATGCTGTTGATTCTTTTGCAGCTGCTTCATCTAAAACCCAGGCCTCTCCTGGCTGCAATAAACCTCCTCAGTCCTTTCAGAGAGGTTTCCCCCTTTAACTCGCTTTGTTTCCAAACGGGTGATGGACGTGGCAGCATTCTTTAGCATCCTTGTTGCAATTGTTTCAAATGGATGTGTTGACGTTGGGGAATAAAGCGCACAGTGCTCAGGGGAGGAGTGAGAGGAAGCAGGAAACTCAAAAGCTTGGCTGTGACCACCATGGTTGATCAGCTCCATTACAGCACTAAAGAGCCAGAGTTTGGCCCCTAGCAGTCTTTGCTTTACCCCCAGACTGCTGGGTGGCACTGATCCATCGACTCCCAAATAAGACGATTACAGATCTACGCTGCTGGGTAGAGAAGTAGTCTGTAGCTGTGTTGTAAACTATTGTGGTTACTTTGTGGTGATGACTGGAAGCTGTAGGAGGCTGGCAGTTCCAGATAAATGACTAACCTGTAGGTCTTGCACTTAAAAACAAAACGTGCAGCTGTTGCAATGTTTTTGAAGATTACATGCTTTTCCCTCCTAAGGCAAAGTCACAAATAAAGATGTTGTTATTTTATAATTATGAGGTTTGTTAAGTTAAAACAGATTGGTGGATAGGAATTAAATGCAAACTTGACTCAGTGTGAGGACTTTCATTGAAAGAATACGTTTAACAGGAAAAAAGACGAACTTCCTGTTGAGACTTCACAGAATGAGCCTGTGGTATGATGAGTGGTGAGTTGAGTAATTTCGTTTTCATGTCTGTTGAGTTGTACATCATAGGCTTTGGTGGAGAGTAAGCTCAAGTACACATTTGAGTAGCCTATTTACATTTTCAGCTACTTCACTTGCACTTCACTACTTTTCAGAAGTAAAGTGTCTGATCCACTTCATTTATTTGGCATCTTTACTGACCATTCAGAATGATAATACAAATATATATAAATGATGAAATGAACCCTTGGTGAAATTCACTAGCTACCCAAAAGTATGTATAGTACAAAATTAACCCCTCTTTTACCAGCTGTGATATACAGGTTACAGGTTATAATTGTAGTAGAATGTAATTCAATATAAGTTTATGCTGTGATATTAATTAGGTTAAGCTAAGTAGATCATTTGAAATACAGGCCAACATACAAGTTTGTATGGCAAAAAAAAGTCATATAAAACCATTCTCTGATATGGTCTGTTGGCAGCATGTGAATACTAACTAACTACATTTTGAGACCATACTTTTTAAATAGAACCTTGAATGCAGGACTTTCACTTGTAAAAGTAAAGCACTACACGTTAGTATTAATGCTTTTACTCAAGTAAACCACCTAAATACCTCCACCTCTGATTGTAGGCTACAATTGGGTATTTTACTACATCTACCAAGTCATTATTGTAGTAGAACACTAGTTTTTATAGCATCTCATTGTGGGATTTTACACAATCGTATCAGTTGTTGTAGAATAAATCAATAGGGGTTTATGTTGATACAATTGGTTACGTTGAGTAGATCGTTTGGAATAAAGACCAACACACACGTTTCATGGTAATCAATAAACATGGGATAATCTTCAGAGGGATTTATACTTTGAAGCAGAGCTAAGGGGTTATACAACTAATAGGAAGACTATAATGGACTATATGTAAAAGAAAGGGGCGGAGCACCGGAGAATAAGCAGCGCTGCCTGTCTGCTCTGCCCGGTTATCTGAGGGTGAAGGCGGCAGCAGATGCGCCTCCATGCTGCTTTAAATCCGCTAAGAAGCCACTAGTCCAATTAACCGAGGGGAGGCGGACATAAACGCATGCAGGCTATTAAACTCTCCAACGACGATGGATATGAGCGCCTCTCCGGCACATGACGACTTGAAACGACAGATCGCCATAACAAAACAAGTTGGACCAGAAACGACTCAGTATTTTCAGTGATGTACTTTGAGCGGTGGTAGTCTCGGTGTCTGGGCTCAAACATTAAGCCTTTATAAGCTCCTGCAGAGTTGTGTTGTAAGGCCTGCGTCACACGGAGTTTCCTCGCTGTTTGTGGAGGAGCCTCGGTAACATGGACACATACGCTGATGTGCTGCTTGTCACCGCAAATGTCGGCTCACTCTTTGACAATGTAAGTATAATAACAATTAAACCACGCTAAAGTCCTGTCAGGATTATACTTGATGCTGACAGAGGAATAATGAGGAAACCGGAGTAAAGTTTTACATTTAAGGCTCACCTTACATCTTCGGTATAAGGATGTAACAGGTCTTCATGACGCGTTTAATGTTACTTAATCCAATACATAGCCTGTTTTATACTACACTGTGAAGTACTCAGCCGTGTTTATCTTCTCTGGCTGTCACTAACATGTGCTCAATATCCCCTGTGGTTACTTAAATAAAAGCCACAACAGTTGTCTATGGTTAATAAACGTGGGATGTGAAAGTTTCACGCTTCATGTTTTCAGCCCTCATGTGACCTGCTCCTTGTTGCTGTTGCATTGCAATCTGTGATCACTCTGCAGGGCAAGCCATGAAAAACAGATGAAAATATTCACCTAATGTTTGACCTATGACCTTGGAAAAAAATGAAACCAAGCCTATGTAACGTGTTTACAATCATTGCCTAATTTCAGGGTTATAAAGGCCTCTACTGAATATCATGTATTTTGATGCATGTAGGTATGACAATAAGTTCAATAATTCAAAACCAGGGGTCACATTTCATAATATGAAAAACAACCTTGTATGTTGATCTAATTCCTCAATCATTTATGTTTTACAATATTTATTTCTTAATTCTGAGACATGTTTGTTGTTTTTTGTCGTTGTGGCTGCTGCATATCTTGGCTAGGACATTTTTGGGTTAAATAAAAGTTTAACCCACGCAGAATCCAACCTGTCATTTTGCTGATACAGTGGACCTAAAATGTGAGCCTTATCGGAGTTCACATCAGTTGGTCTTTTGTTCCCCCAATCATCCCTAAAATGATCATGCCATTCAGTGTTTTAGGTTTGTGCCCCAAAGCAGTTGTTATCCAGATATTCTAAAATTGTACGCTTTTATTAAACCCCCCCTTCTATATTTATATTCAAATGTAGTCCTCTGTTGACCCTTCTCCATATTCATCATGGCCCTTTACAACTGTATTACTGTATGTGCAGTTAATCGCTGTGGAAAATCACTGCTTATGACGTTCATTCAGGAAGAGTCTGTGTTACTCAACAGTTAGTTTATAGTTTCCTTATCATACTGTGGCTTTTACATCATCGGCTCCAGTGTTATCACTATATGTTCTATATTGTTATCTTACATACGTACTTATTTAAACTATAGTTCATAGCCTAGTCTTGACTGTTTGTATCTTTACCTATCTAGACGACTTTTCCGAGTGTATCTATACTCTTGGTGGATTCAGTTTGGGGCTTTGTCAGCCCAGACAACACTTTTGGACTCTGCAGGGAGGGGGGCTCGTACACTCATGGAAATTTGGCTCAGGACCATGTTTCCGGTTGCCAAATCTGTCTCTAATGAAAACACGTTAGATGCTATTGTGGGAGATATGTAAACAGATGAATATCTCCCCCAGGGGACTTGCGCTTTTTCTACTGGTTTAGGCCCCCGTATTTCCATAAACACTCCAAAACGTTCACCAAGCCTTCGGGATAAGAGCAAGACCTTAAGCACATCACAGGATAAATCCCCCTGCTTTACTGGAGCCGTGTGTCCCGTCAGAGATAAGCCAGTGGGACAGACAACTCAACTATTTATTTATGTAGCACCTTTCATACAAACACGCAAGCCAAAGGGTTTGATGAAGAAGGGACTAACAATAATCAAAATCAAGAAAAATAATAAAATGTAATCAATCAGAAATAAAAAAACAATAAATGGATAAAACATATCTAACGAAAACAATTATGAAAAGATTTAAATGTAAGGCTTATTCAGTACCCCAAATGAAAGCCAGATTAAATACTTTTTCCTGTAAAAGTATAGAAAGTGCTTGTATTTCTAATATCCATAGACAGTGAATTTCAAGGTTTAGTGGCATAAACACAGAAAAGCACTCCTTGGTACTTTTGTGGGACAGATAAGGAACATTAAAAAGCAAATTGGTGGAGGCCATTAGTGATCTGCCTGGAGCATACAATTAGAAAACATCTCAGATGGTTTACTGCTACTCTGTGCTACCAGCAACATTTCAATGGCCCACCAAAGCAGTATCCTGGAGATTTAACCTATTGTTCCTTGCGAGCTTGATTAATGATTGTATAGACTCAACTGCAGTGAAAAGACGTTATTTAAACAAAATCTCGCTGTATATAGTTATATAATGTAACAGGAGATCAGTTGTTGGAACATTTTCTATTGCCAAAGACACATTTCGGCCATGTTTCGTTAACAAAGCATAAACTAAATCACCATGCTGGATTCATTAAGGCTGAAAGTCTTTTGGAGTAGAGTTGCTGTGGTTTCACTTAAGACCTCTCTCATTCAAAGAGCCCAGTCTCGCTGCCTGCCTCAGTGCTGCTAGTTTTACAGAGAGTAAAACTAACTATTATGTAGCTGGATTGTGATGTTCAGTTCTTTAAATTATTCACTTTTACCTCCTCCTTTTATTACTGTATACATAATCTTATCTTCAGTTAGGTCTGGGCAATATGGAGTATATCAAATGTGACAATATGATTGACCTAAAACCACACTATGGATATTGTGCTGATATTGTAGGGTTGACTATTTATGCTTTCACAGGATATTTACACAAGGAGAATTTATGAAAGTATCATCAGTCATATGGATTTATTGACTAGGTGTGTGATGGTAAATAATAGCACAGCTAATACAGTCTGGTTAATTCAGAACATAACATCACATTACTTTTGTGCAGCCTTGAAAACCTAGAATCAAATCAGTCTAATGTTATTTTTAAAGCCCAATATCACAAATTATTGTCTCAGGGGGCTTTACAACGTTACCAGCATACAACACTTGGACCCAAGTAACGTACAAGGAAAACAATTCCAAAAGAAAGCCCACAAATAACTGGAAAAATAGAAGGCCAAAAAGACGTCTTAAAGATATCATGTGTATATTTTAAAAAAGACTATAAAATTACAACATAAACAATCAAACTGACAAAAATGATAATGTGAACGAATAAAATAAAGATGGATCCAGGAGGATATCAAAAATCTACCCGGTGCCGCCAAAAACAGCACTTATGATATCCAAAATCTAAGACAATATCTAGTCTTATATCCCAATATGTATCGACAGGCCTAATATTGAGTGTAAATGCTGTATGGACATCATCTCTAAAACACATATAAGTTACACTTCTAGCTGAATGACTCGTGGTCAGAGTTGTATTTATGTTCAGAACATACAGACTGCTAGTAACCAGAATGGCGTGAGCTGCAGTCCTCCGGCCACTCTGCCATGCAAATCTGTTGTCTATGCAAAGCCATTTCTAAGCCAGTATGAATACACCTGGCGTCGCAGAAGGTTACACAATAAACTGGAAAAGTGGGTGTGTGGGAAAGGAAATATGCATATAGCACACTCTAGGAGCTTTTATTTGAACTTTTGAATGTAATGCTTATGGTCCACAAAAACAGAAAAAGATAGAGGATTATCTGGGATGAGAATCTAGAAGCTTGCGTGTAGGAGGTAATATTTCTCACACCCATTTGTGCTTTCACTTTCACAAATCAATTTAATAATTTCACAGCAAGGCAAAATGTTGCAGCTACAATACTGAACAGGCAATAGTCTGCTAAGTTAGCCCCTTCCCTGTTTGACAGAGCTCATTGTGTATTATTCATGTTTAATAATATACTCAGTATTGCCATGTAACGTAAAACTCACCACCAGAGGCACTTTGGACGGTTGCCAGATTACTACAGGTGCAGCTACACCTGTCTACTTCCTGGAAAACACATCCATTGGAAACACAGGATGATATTTCCACGCAATCTTTATTGTGTGTCTGTTTCCTTTAATGTCACTTCCTGAATTCCACTTGAACTGTTTGTCTGTTATCTGCTCCCATGTCCTTTTAAAAGCCAGAAGCCAAATACAATTACAATAAAACAATTAGTGTTTCTTTATGTCCCATGTGAATGGAACTACCTCATTGTATGTGCTTAAAGTGAGCGTTAATAGTTAAAGCTTCTCTTATAAATGTTAACGTATTAAAGAATATTAAATAAATGTGCGTATTGTTAAAGGAGTTGCTCAGATTGACAAACCCAATTATTGCATTTACTGTATACTGATGTTTCCACAAAAAACAAGCAGGTTTAATATTTAATTTTAAACATTTTCTGAAAGACAGATTTCACGCTTTTGATGTTTTTCCTCTTTGTTTTATAGGTTGGTGAAATTCAAAATGAATGGTTGCGAGAATTGTATAAGGTAAGTTTGGGAAGCCTGGCTCTTGCATTTAAACATTTAGTATGTCCACTCATCACTGGTATTGTCTCATATTTGTCTCTTACATTTTATGGACAGTCTTTTACATTCAAAATAAAGACATGTTAGTGGAATATGGCATCATTACGTTTACAACACACACACAACAGTTACCTATTCAACAGGAAAGGTTTATTAGCACTGATAACACATCCAGATTTGAAATTCCACATGACCCCTAGAGGACAGTTCACTTCATCCTGTGATACGCAGTGTTGACCCCTTCCCTTTCCATCCCTCTGTAATGTAAAACCTGCAGACTAACACGTGTCTCTGTTTCAGACGATCCACAGCCACAAGCCGCAGTTCATCGCCCTGCACTTCCAGGAGGTGGGAGGGAAGGACTACATGGCCAACATGGGCCACGCCGAAAACTTCTTTTGGTAGGACTAATGTGAATTAGTGTTCACATCTTTGACTGAAGTAAACTTATATAAGTCCTGAACTCATAACCTTTTTTAAAGAGGCCTTATTATGCTTGTTGGGGTTGTCCCTTTCCTGTTGTGTGCTATATAGGTTGTTGTGCATGTAAATGGTCTGCAAGGGCTAAAATCCTAAAGTTCAACCCAGAGGGAGTTTCTATCCCATACTTTTTCTATGCATAAATGTTCATACAAAAGTACTTCATAATCATCAAATGAAGAGTTTGCAAGGGTATGAAACATTCTGAGAAGTAACTTATGCTGTCGGACAAATGTATTGGGGTTCAAAGTATTTGTCACTGGGATGGAAACTTTTCCAGCAAAGTCATGTTTTTCCACCATAAGGAAGAAAGTCGTTTGAATTCTACGGCTGCCAGTACCAATTATTTTTGACCTATTCATTTCTACATTTATCAGTTCATCTTTTAGTCTGTTAAAAAAAAAACTGAAAAAATGTTTCCCAAATCGATATCTCTGTTGTTCTTGGTCTGTTCCAGGATCATTGAATCGAGCGAGGAAATGAAAGACTATGACAGGGTCTGCATCTATGTGGACAACCAGTTCCAAACAGAAGACAGTTTCACGGTAAGAAAAACACAATCTGTTCAGAGTAGTTCATACGGGCCGCCACATGATGGAGCCCTCCTCCATGTTAGTGGTTAGCGCTATGTGCAGCTGTTATGTTCTCTCTGACAAACAAGAGCTGATTTCTGGTCATCACGTTAGGTGGAGAGGAGCATCGCAACATTTATTTTACCATAATACAACATTGAACAAGTGAACTTTAAAGGTCACCTATTATACTGTTTTTTATCAATTTATTATAGGTCTCAGATATATACAAAACATGTCTCTGAAGTGTTTGGCTCCAAACACCAAACAGATCATTGCAGCATCCCATAATCCCCTCTGTTTCAGCCCTGTTTCAAAAGTGCAGATTCTCTGTCTGTTACTTTAGATGAAAATAAGGAGCCACTCCCCACGCCCCTCTGAGAGAGATTTGGTTAAAAAGAACACAATGGTGCTCTAGGAGGAGATTCAGTTGATAAGGTGGTGGGGGGGGGTTACCTTGGTTGGTGATTGGCTAATGGTTACCAAGCCAAAAAATCGTTATGACATCATAAAGTGGCCAAAATCTGATCAGCTCATTTTCAGACAGGTTTTTATATAAATGGATCAGGACAAAAAGAGAGAGAATCTTTTTTCCTGAAACTTTCAGAGTCTCTTTACACAGAGGGGACACATGTTGATGTAGAAGAGACATGAACAAGTGTATTTTGCATAATAGGTGACCTTTAATGTATCCACTGAGGTCCGTTGAGAACTTACTCTTCTTTTGCTCACACATGGTGATGTATACAAGACGATTTTGCATAATAGGTGACCTTTAAGATTGATCAAGATGGATTGAATTTGAACATGGATTAATTCCATTCTGTATACTATTAGAGAAAGTAATTAGATCTATTATTTTGCCGAAGAAAACAGGATACATTTGAGTGACTTGTGATTTAAGTCTCAATCTTAAAACTCATAAGTGGATATTTTTTATTAAGTGAGAAGGCTTTGACAGGATGTTTTGATCCTGTTTCCCATAGCTGATGAAGACAAGCTACATAGTTGAAATGTTCCATTATCAGAAGGATCAGGTCCGACTCGTCCTACATTTTGTTTTGTGTGTGAGTGTAAACAGGCTCCTCCTTGTTTGCATCTCATCACAAAACAGATCAGTGAAACAATGCCCCCACATCTCGAAGGGCCATGAGTTAAGGACCTACTGTATCTAACTTGAGCTGAGATTACAGGTAAAGATCGTATCGGAGTATTTTCCTCTCAGTGAAAATTTCCAGGCACTGTGTTTTTGTTTCAGAGGGGACCTTTGACCTAAAGGAAGCCTTTAAGACCAAGATGATTAAATACCAACCCCTTCTAAAACCATCTCATTAGCCACAAATACAATGTGTACATGGCCTTACTTTATAAGATGTTGGATTTTAGTAGATGTCGAAATTGTTAGTATTAGTAGAAAAGTATAATTAGTGAGATTAAATTGCTATTCAGTCTGCTCATAACAGCAGAAAATAAAAACTTTGATATTATGTCAACAAGTTTTTATTGAGAAGACTATGCTCAAACTAATAAGGCTGTCTAAGGTTTTTAATTTGTGATGAAGATAAAAGAACGAGGTGAAATGTCATCGACGGTATCGGGGTCAGATTCGTCGTACTTTTTCTATTATGCGTGTGTTTGTGTGTGGGTAAACAGGTTCCTCCTTGTTCTTGCATCACATCACATCAAAGATAAAGATCATGTCAAACCTTTTTCGTGTCAGTGAGGACAAGCATTCATTTTAAAAACGTTTCCGTGTTGCCAAATGAACCTGGGGACTTTTTCATATTTGTATTCATACAGCAGAAATGTTCAATAAAGAGTCCAGAAAATGTTTGTGGTGTTTCTATCCAAGAGGAAGGCCTGTTGTGTTTCCTTTTGTGAAGACCTACGCTGCTGGTTCCTGGTTATGAATGAATCTATATCCATTAATCATGTGTCCTTGTTGTTAAAGTGTGTTTGTGTTTACTCGTCTGGGTTTCTCCTTCATCAAGGCTCACTGCACATCTCGGATATGAGCAAACCAGAGCCCTTTGTACTGTGAGGCAATTACATCTCAAAGATATGGCGTGAAACAATGTGAAGTGGTTACACACTTGAGCACAGACATAAGAGATGCACTTAAAGACAGTTTTGTTAAGTAACTTTCCCTACCTGCACGGATGAAGTGAGCCTTGGTCCGCTGCAGTGCATGCTGGGACGTTGTGAAAGCCATTTCCTGCTTCAAACTTCTTCTTTTTGTGACCTCAAACAGCACAAGCAAGTTCTCAGTCTTCTCTCTGGAGTCAAACTGTTTTCAGAGTTTCTCCTAACGGGTTTGTCAGCATTAGTTTGCCTGAAATTCTGCCCTGGTTGAAAAAGGGGCTGAGTATTTCTTAAACTATTAACCCTTACTCCTCCCATGTGATACCCCCACACTGGACGTCTGACAGTAGGGGTCAGCGGCTGCATCTGTAGACTGAAGGTGTGTGAAGTAAAAAGGAGAAAGTCAATGGCCAGGTGTGGGGGGGGGGACAGGCCAAAGTCAATACATTTAACTCTAGATTAAAACTATTGATCCCAGCCCATTTGTGCACGATAAATAAAGAGTGAGGGGGGACTGGGAGACAGCTGGGACTAAGTTTCCCCACGTTGAGTGTTTGCACCCTCCACTGTTTGCCCTGAGAGGGTTGCAGCCCCCCCCACCCCTCCTAATGCCTCATTCTCATTTCGGCGGTGCCACCTGCATTGATTTTCAATTTGTTTCCCCCTGGCTGCGGATCATCAGTTATACGGCCGAGAGAGAGTTTGGGGGGTTCTCCTTTCAGAGGGGCTGCAGCAGCAGAGGGGGCCGACCTGCATGCATTCAGTACAAATGGTGTTTTGATAAAAAATCACTTGTAAGTCAATATTTTTTTATTAAACTGTGCACAAACCTGATTGATGAAGGTGTGTGTGTGTGTGTGTGTGTGTGTGTGTGTGTGTGTGTGTGTGTGTGTGTGTGTGTGTGTGTGTGTGTGTGTGTGTGTGTGTGTGTGTGTGTGTGTGTGTGTGTGTGTGTGTGTGTGTGTGTGTGTGTGTGGTGTGTGTGTGTGTGTGTGTGTGTGTGTGTGTGTGTGTGTGTGTGTGTGTGTGTGTGTGTGTGTGTGTGTGTGTGTGTGTGTGTGTGTGTGTGTGTGTGTGTGTGTGTGTGTGTGTGTGTCAACTTTTTTTTTTTATTGAATATTCTTCATTCTGCTTTTGAAAAAGATCTGTATTTGGAGTCCCAAAGTATTTATATTACAGCTTTATAGTAAAGAATGTATAATAAAAAATGTGCACATTCATCATTAATTTGATGAATACAGTGATTCCTCTTTTATTTTCTCCATATAATTAAACACAATCAAAGCACAAACATAAAATATACAAAAAAACAAGATAAGACAAGGGGGGTTTTCCATATTAAGGAAAAGGAAAAGGAAAAGGAAAATCCAGCAGGGAGTTTCCTGAGGCGTATCCAAGCTAAGGAAGGGAATTATATCACTTACACTTTTGCCAAGTCTGTATTCTCCTGATGCCTCATAGAGAAGGGATTGTTTCCATGTAAATTATTTAATATATAATCTCATACCAGTCAGTTTAAGTTAACAACCTTATCAGATTGTTCAAATAACAGCCCTAGTTTTGACAAGTTGCTCACTAATTGCCGCTCACTGGAGCCGATCACGGAGACACTTCCATTTTATTAAATGAGAAGGACTTTGGCACCGAAGATAAATGATCTCTTCAGGGAGAGATCTCTCATGCTCTGGCTGGGTGTTTTTTAGGGGGGGGGGTTTGCACATCAGTCCGTCACGCCCCGAGCCCTCGGAGCCGCTGATTTTTCTTCGGCCCCCAGTCAGCGCTGGCAGACAGCAGGCCTACTGCTTAATACCTTTTAAATTGTTTTAATTTTCTGTCTTTATTGATCTCTCAGGGCATGATTAATCAGATCAGTGGAGCAGGCAGTTAGTACATTAAAAATGGTCAGCCTCACGTCAAGGATGATTTGGTGCTAAAGTGTGTGTGTATGAGAGAGTGTGGGGGGGGGGCAGTTTGTGTACGTGTTGTGCAGTTCACTTTCAACGCCTCTATTCTTTAAAGTTTCATGCGTCTTTGGGAGAGTAACAATATACTGTGTCGCAGTGGATGGTTCAATACGAGGCTCACATGATGGGGAAATGAACAATTCAATTCATCATCAGAGGTTGAGCTCAGATGATGAGGTTTTACTGTCGATCGCTGATGTGAAGCCGTTGCTAATGGACCAGACAGAGCTCAAATGTCCCATTTAAAAACTTCAAAAAAATGTTTTATCAAGTGCAGATGGGGGTGCAGTATTTAAATTGGCACATTTCCAGGCATGTTTGCAGAATTTAATATTTCTAAATGTAGCTTTTGGGGATTTTCTTTTGTTCTGTGCAGTAGGTGTTTGCATTGACATGAAACATGATATTTCAGTGTACATTTCTCAAATTCCTATCACAGCAGGCAACTTGATCATGTTTGTAAAGTTTATGATTAACCTAAAACCATTTTACATTTCATACAGACCTCATTACACTTGTGTTCCTTATGTGTTTCTCTCCACAGGCTTTGGGGAGCATGTACTTCATCCACAAGACACTGAAAAACATCCAACAGTATGATTTTAATGGTAAAAACTTTACTCCTTATGCCTGATGTTTGCATTGATTTTTCTCCTTCTATTATCCGTCAGCTGGTGATATATTCCTATTACTCTCCCCTCGAAAGAAACATGAGTTAAGCTCCCACCATAAAGCACTCCCTTATGTTTTGGTAATGGCTCATAATTGGCTCTTACTTCAAATAAAGAGCAATAAAGGGCAATATTGCATATGATTCAAATGATTATGGTCATCTTTTTAATATCAGGAGTTTCAGGACATTTCTCAAGTGTTTAACGACAGTTTGATCGCTAACTCCTCCTGGTCAGATATTTGCAAAGAACCTGCATTTAAAGTGGAGCTGTTATTTTCCTGCTGCATAGTCCAGTCACGTTAGGCGTGAAAAAGCTCCTCAGAAAAGCTTATGGAAGAACCATAAACATCCCGCAGCTGCCACTCGCTGTGTGGCCCAATCCGATTGTTGTCCACCAAACACAGTCTAATGGCCCGCTTATAGATCCCCTCATCACGTATGCCGCTCTGATGAGGTTAACACCAGTTTATTGATTGCCGTTTGCATGTTTTCTCACTCTTTTACATGTCACCCCTCTAACAGTTAAGGATTTCAAAGCAGTGTCGGGACAGACTAAGCACGTGGGCTCTCTGGACGGGGTCAGCACAGTGGAGAAAGAAAAATTCCCAAAGAATTTCTGGCCTGATGTGAGTATGTGTGTGTGTGTGTGTGTGTGTGTGTGTGTGTGTGTGTGTGTGTGTGTGTGTGTGTGTGTGTGTGTGTGTGTGTGTGTGGTGTGTGTGTGTGTGTGTGTGTGTGTGTGTGTGTGTGTGTGTGTGTGTGTGTGTGTGTGTGTGTGTGTGTGTGTGTGTGTGTGTGTGTGTGTGTGTGTGTGTGTGTGTGTGTGTGTGTGTGTGTGTGTGTGTGTGTGTGTGTGTGTGTGTGTGTGTGTGTGTGTGTGTGTGTGTGTGTGTGTGTGTGTGTGTGTGTGTGTGGGGAGGGGTACGTGAGGGCCAAAGGGAGATGTCACGACAGATGAGTCTACTGGGGCTGCCGCTCTGACAGGGAGATGAGACAAATTATGTGAAAGAATCAATGATTATCAGTATGGCTCGCTGCTGTTTAGTGACTCACTCTCATTTGTCTCTGTTGCAGTTCAAGTGGTCCAGGAAGGGCTTCATGAGGACCCGCTGGATCATACACAACCAGTACGTACCCTGCACCAATCTCACCTGGATTAGATAAACACAACATACTCTGCCCTGGATTTATATCACTTTCACTTTTGGTTGTTTTTTGACTGTTGTGAAATCCAGCTATGCCTGCCCTGATGCCAACTGGCATTCATGTAAGCTGTTCAGGTTTGCTTTACTCAAATAGCTTTGAAAACTAGTTTGTTTAGCGTGTTAAATAAAGAGTAAGTTCCCAGTAACAAAGTCTATTCGGTTTCCCTTTCTGTTCCACCTGAGTGTTAACAGATCATTTACCTGACTTTTGACATTGACAACCAAATTCCACTGAACTCACACCTTACTTTGAGATGTACAAACTCTGCTTCTACAATACATTTTTTCAGAGCAACATTTTCAGTTTAAATCAGTAATACCAGAGCTTTTTAGCTCGGTTTGGTTGTACAACCACAATTTTAACTGAGATCTGAACACATACAGGATCTCAGAGCTGCAGCAGGGGCTACAACTAATACTGTCTCCCATTACCTCTATCACTATATTACATTACATGTCACTTGTTAGACGCTTTTATCCAAAGCGACTTACATACTCAATACTGTGGGCAATCCCCACAGGAGCAATTTGGGGTGAAGTGTCTCAGGGACACAACGACATGCTGACTGCAGTGGGGTTTGAACTGTGTCTGTGTTGTCCCCTGTGGATTTATTAACGAAATATTTTGTTATTATTTATTTAGTTTGGCAAAGTAATTGTCCACTTGATCGAAACAGAGCCAGTGCAGCATGGTGTCCTGCTGCTAACCCACACAGGCTACATTTTACAGAACACCATTTTATATAATGACAGAAGCAAAGAATATATTTGTATAGTGTATGTTCTGAAAAACATTGGAATTATGTAAATAAAAGCTAAATATAGCTCTGAAATGAACATGATGAATGGCTCCGTGCTGCTGCTACAGCTGCACGTGTTCTCTGGGAACAATAGTCTCTATTTGCTCTGCTGAGTCGTCACCCGGGGGGGGGGAAACAAAGGCAGGCCACAATCTGTGTGCAACAAGATCAGGCTGTAAGTCAACTAAGCTCTTTTGTTGGATGCAAATTAATTGTTTTGCAGTGACAGCCAAAAAAAAAAAGGAGCGGACGTTTCAACAAAAGAAAAACGTGTTTGTAGACTCGGCATTAACACGAGAGCAGCAACTGATAAGAGAGCTACCCATGAGTGACACCCGTGCACACACACAGCACACACACCTTTCAGATGTCAGATGTTATCAAATCGTTTCCTGTTTCCTCTCTCTGCCTAACACATATCACCATATTCTGTCTGTGTGTTTTACAGAGGTCTGGACCTGGTTAATGTCCACCTGTTCCACGATGCCTCCAACCTCATTGCCTGCAAATCCAGTCCCTCCATTTACTCGGCCAACCGCAAAAACGCTCTCAGATATGTCATCAACAGGTCGGATACCCAGGCGCAAATTATGCAATGGCTTTTCCCACCTGGCAAAACACTGTTCCTCTATAAAGTGACAAAAAAACATTGTATTTAATGTTTTCTAACTGCTTTGTCTTTTATATATATAAACACACACACTAATACACTTCTCACAATCAACTTTGTTGTTCTAAAAGTCTGCCATCAAAATAGAATTTTATTTTTTGTATAATAATCTTGTGTTCTCATTGTGTATTTACAAATTATTTAGGTATAGGTTTCATATGAGCCCAGTGGGTTTTCTCCCTCCTTCTGCACTGCATATTGTTTGTTATCTGTTACTCACTCTATGAAGGGAATGGGTTTTCCCACAGATTTGGCTAAGATCATTATGTAAACAGGATATTTCAGGAACTCTGATCTTTGAAAGCACTGTTCTGAAGTGATTGCACACACATAGACAGGTTTTTTTTTATAGAAAACCACCCAAACATCTTTGTGATTCCTGGTTTCTATTTCCTTCCAGGATATCAGACAGCCGGTACACTCCTCTGCCTTTCTTCCTGTTTGGAGATTTTAACTTCCGTCTGGATGCACTTAGTCTGGTGCAGGTATGTGACAGCATTTCTCCTGAAGGAATTGAGGAAGTGCATCACCTTGGCCTTTTGACACAAACTCTTGCTTTTTGTTTTGTGTTTCTGTGAGCAGCATCTGTCCACTTCAGCAAATGTGCAAACAGTGAAGAAGGACAGCAGTAACGAAGTAGAGAAGATCATCTGCGAAGAAAAAGACAACGACCACCAGGTGATTAATGCAGTTTTATCAAGAAAACAATATTATTTTCTGTGCTTCCTTTCCTATACCTAGTTTTATTCCACCCACAGGTGCTGCTCCACATTGAGGACAAGCTGTTTGCCTACCTGCACCAGGCGGTTTTCAGGGAGGACAACGGCAGAGCGGTGAGAAATCTCTCAGCTTTGACCCACACTGATCCGGTCAGCTGCCCCACAGTCTCAGACAAGCTATGCTGTGACTCTGACCTACTCTACTACAGGCTGCTTAGCAACAATCTGACATGTCTTCACAGATTTTAGATTAGACCCTATCAGCGGATACACAATCCTAAGAATGACATTACAGCAAATACACTAGCTGTGGGTTAAACAGAAGTGCGATAACTTTGACAGTAAACTGGGTTTTCCGCCCGCACTTAAGTCTTACTCACTCACACTTGATTTTAATGGGTGTAGAGTTCCTGTAGAGCTAATCAGAAATGGCTTCTATCCCTCAGCTTTTGAAGTATGACAAAGAAGTCGCAGTCTTTCATGATGTTATTCGGGAAGAGGACATCGAGTTTCCACCCAGGTAACCCAGCTAGATGCTGCAGACATACAGTATAAAAACTCTAACATATGTTGTTATTCCCCTAAACTCACTGTGTGTGTGTGTGTGTGTGTGTGTGTGTGTGTGTGTGTGTGTGTGTGTGTGTGTGTGTGTGTGTGTGTGTGTGTGTGTGTGTGTGTGTGTGTGTGTGTGTGGTGTGTGTGTGTGTGTGTGTGTGTGTGTGTGTGTTGTGTGTGGTGTGTGTGTGTGTGTGTGTGTGTGTGTGTGTGTGTGTGTGTGTGTGTGTGTGTGTGTGTTGTGTGTGTGTGATGTGTGTGTGTTGTGTGTGTGTTGTGTGTGTGTGTGTTGTGTGTGTGTGTGTGTCCGTGTCCGTGTCCCACCCAGCTACCCATACAGTGAAGAGTATACCAAACCGACCCGGTACATGAACACTCGCTGCCCGGCCTGGTGTGATCGCATCCTCCTGTCACACACTGCCCAGGAATTCATCCACAGGGTCAGTACATGCTACTATCATAAAGCTGATATTCTTAACCTTCTGCATTTTAGCTCTCCTGGCAATCCCACACCATGTACAGGATATATTCTTGGTATAAGTAAGGCTTATATATACACAATTTGATACAAGATTGCAACTTTTTAATCGTTTTTTGTTCTCGCGTATACAGTGGCTTCTGGGCCTGCCGATATTCTCACATGGCTAGTGAGTTTATTACAAGAATAATGTCATTTATTGTAAAAGATAAGCGTTGACATGTTCGTATCTTCGAAAAGCCTGCGCCTCTTAGTTAGTGATGCAATGTTTGTCAAGCTTTTCGCAGGCTACGTAATTATAACAGTGACAGATTTGGCACTCTAAATTGATAGTAATTTTCATGACGATGACTCCTGTATTTTAGACAATAAAAGACAAAAACAAGTCTCTTATTTTAGCTAGTGACCATCGATTGTGACCATTTGGCTGAATTTAGTGTCGCCAACAGACTATCACCTGCAAATAGCTAGCTAGCAAGCTAATTAAGCTAAAATTAGCTTTATGAGTTGGTTGAAAATTACCGTCAGGAGACTCACGACGCAGAGGCTATAAAATTACCAGTGTCAATAAAATGTATCATTTATGACCCACTCAAAGTGTGTGGTGCTATATGTTTTTGCAGAGATCATGCACCCCATCTGCATGTTCTTATTTAGCTTAGTTTGGAATATTTAAATGGGGTCAATCTCTATTAAAATGTATACTGGTTGCTTGACCGGAAGCTTGCATCCAAGAGGAAGCTATCAGAAATGTCTGACCAAGTGCTGAAAGGACGCAAATATAGTCAGGAGGAACCACAAACGAACACAACCTATGCTGTTGACTTTCATCTGAAGTAAAGTTGTTTAATCAACTACAACATACGAATCCTACTCATTCTGCCCTAAGTCACAGATGTAAGCTCCAGTGTTGATGTCACATTTTATTTCCTTTATCACTAAAAGTTCATTCCTGTTTTTAGGGAGATGACGGAGACAAGAGCCTCGTTTACGACACAGTGGGTCCTAATGTCTGTATGGGAGACCATAAGGTAACAGTTTAAATAGCTTCTCCAGTATATTGTACTGTTTCTGTTCTACATGTGGAGTAACTCTGCTGTGTTCTTCTTGTAGCCGGTTTTCTTGTTCTTCTCACTGAAGACGAATGACCATTGACTTGGATCCTTCTCAATGGTAAGTGCCAGTGAGTGTGTTTCTATACTATACAGCATGTGGAGGTGTATGTAGGTCTATGTGGTGATTCCAGAGGGGGGGATTCAGTGTGTGAGAGCGATCACAGTAATCTCGCTGCGCTCCCCAGAGGGCCGTAACCTAGTCTGGCCCACAGGAGTCGGGATATGAACTAAGATGAAGTGCCTGCGGGACACGAGCGCTGCTTTGTGTCCAGGCAGTCGGACCACAGGCCATCAGCACCTCTCACTGATCTATGTGTATTGAATCCTCTGCAGTGTCACTGTGGCCACACACTAAGTGCATCGCTGGCCCGCTTTTCATTAATTACCATCTGGATGGTCGGCTGGAGAGACATGCATTGTGCCGGACAGCGTATTGGCATTTTTACGGTCATGATTTTGTTTTGCTGCCGTTTAAATTTATTTAGTTTAGGGATGGACTGCTTTTTCATGAGGATCCCTCTTCAGAAGCCTGCAAAATAATGAGTCCACGCAATGAAGCTGCAACCAGCGCACATTATCTTTTGTGTTTGGGAGACAAGTTAATTCCAGTAAAACAAATTCTCTGTATTTCTCAGGCTACGTTTACCCAGTAAAGAGAGACATTACGGTGCATCAAATGTTAAATGTTACATCTTGGATTTCAAATTAAGAAGTTTCAGAATAACATCATTTGTGATCACATGGGCATCATTTCCACAGAAGGTTGCTTTAAATTAATTTTTCATTTGGGAATAACTTGGAATTACTAACAATAATTATATAATAAGTAAGAGTCTTATAATCATAATCAGCACGTTACTTTATCTCCTCCCACTTTATCCTTCACGTGCACTGTGATCTATTCTTAGAGGAAAAAAAGAATTTCCACATTATTTGGATAAAGTCCCATAACTATTCTTGTGTGTGTGTGTGTGTGTGTGTGTGTGTGTGTGTGTGTGTGTGTGTGTGTGTGTGTGTGTGTGTGTGTGTGTGTGTGTGTGTGTGTGTGTGTGTGTGTGTGTGTGTGTGTGTGTGTGTGTGTGTGTGTGTGTGTGTGTGTGTGTGTGTGTGTGTGTGTGTGTGTGTGTGTGTGTGTGTGTGTGTGTGTGTGTGTGTGTGTGTGTGTGTGTGTGTGTTCGTTCTTTCCTCTCAGCTCTGCCACAGTATCAGTACAATGGTTACCAGCCACAAAAACACACTCGCAGCCAGCAGCGGGTCTCAACTCTGAAATTCCCCGCTGTGAAAACCCCGTCGTCTCATCACTGGAGTCTCACTAAAGACTGTCTCTCTGCCACATACTGTCGACCTCAGCTCCAGAGCCACAAGCCCAGATTAATCTGCAGCTGGGATGGATTTCTGATGCAGTTCTCACCTCACTCTCAGATCTAAAGTCCCTTGACCTGAATGCAAAGTGTCACACAATATATTCCATAACATGTTATTAAGCTGATGCTTTTATCCAAAGCGACTTGCATACACTTCAATTTTGCAGTCATGCCTACAGGAGCACATTGGGGTTAGGTTTCTCGCCCAAGGACACTTCAGCATGTTGACTGCAGGTGTTGGGATCGAAACTCTGACCCTCTGATTTGTAGATTACCACATTAAGCCCCACTATTCCTGCTTCCTTCAGTCTCATGATGTAAAGACTGCAGTGTGTAATTGTTAACCAACTATTTACTGTACATGTATGTGTATGCAAACATTCCTCCTTATTTTAACAAAAGATATGCCATTTTCTTACAGGCAGCATCCGACAAACCCCAGCAAAGGCATCAGAGATGTTCCCATACCTCATTGGCCATTTAGCAGACAGGTCACTGTTTCAGGTCATGGCTTTCACCCAGTAGGTTTTAAATTAGCTGTTCATGTAGCTAATCAGAATCCAGTGTCGAGAAACAAATCATTTTGTAGCTAAACATTACACCAACATTATTATAAGGCTCTAATATTAGTACAACTTAATACATTTTTTACGAAGATTTGGATCAGTATGCTTTTATTTTATGCCATTTCTAGATCACGTTTTCTTTTTAAATGTTGTTTACTACATCTGTAAGTAGATTTTATCCCACATGTAGACACAGTTGAGGAATGCTGCTATGTCAGTTCACTGCTTACGTGTTTGGTCTGATGCCCTTTTTAGATTAAACATAATCTATGAAGGTATCTTACATGTTATTCATTTTCTTAGCTACTTTCTCACAGTGGCTTTATTCCTGTCACATACTGTATCTCTTAACTGAGTCACTTCCAGATCTGGTTTTGTGTCTAACAATGACACTAGAATTTCTAGGCATCAAGATTATGTTTTGAATGCAGGAGTAGGAGCTGAATTGATTACCACATTACAACAGAATGTGTTTCACCCTGTTGAATTTAAAGGTACATTATTTGTACCAACTTTACGTCAATAACAAGTGCTTTATTCCACAAGCTATAACTCATCAGTTTTCATTTTTTCGATTTTAGCAATCCTCACTCGGAAAAGGTTTTCCTTACAGTTTGCTAATGCAGACATCTTCTCCTCCCTGTTCGGGTTGGCATCAAAATGATTCCATTGCCAAAACAATTCTAATGTAGGCCTCCCATGTGTACTCGTAAATGTTCCTAAAGATGCCCTATTATGCTTTTTGGGGTTTCCCTCTCCTGTAGTGTGTTATAGTTTTTGTGCATGTACGGTAAATACTCTGTCAACTCCAAATCCCAAAGTTTCTCTCTCCACCCCCCCCCCCCCCGCCTGAAACACCTCCATTGGACTACTTTGATTACTTCTGTAACATAGTGACATCACTATGTAACACTTGTGCTTCTATTGGCTAGTGCTCCAACACATTGTACGTGATAGGCTAAGGGGCGGGACACCTCTAAGTGGTTGACTAATCACAACAGAGCCGGCCAGCTAACCAATCAGAGCAGACTGAGCTCTGGTTTCAGACAGAGGGTGGTGAAAAGAGGTGCTGCAGTACAGGCAGTATGAGAAAAATAAAGACCATTTTGAACAATAAAGCATGGAGACATGTCACATTATACAAATATGAACCTGGACATGAGCATAATAGGGGCCCTTTAAGGGTTGTGGATGCATCAATACCACAGATTCACTTGAACTTCACAAAATCCTGTATACATACAGTATATGTACGCGTGCACCCACACACAACACAATAGGCACTGTTTGCTTTTGGATTGATTTTTGTTTTGTTTAGTTGAATCATATAGTCTTAAACTGTAGCACCAGTGCTGTATAATATTGTTGATGTGTGAAATGCTAGAATGTTTGACCTGGTTTTAATAATGACTAATTGAATTAAAAAATGTAAAATAAGTTTGCTGATTGTTACTTCCATCCATCTTCTTACACATTATCTGAAGCTAATCCCAGCTGACATGTATTTTATTTTATTGTGTGTTTTGTGATTCTTATTTGGTCTTACACAGCTTGGTGAAACAATATATACGTCAATACAGGTGATCATATCAATGTTGGTCTGTCAGTCATGCTCGCACAGTGGGACTGAAGCCTTGCCGTAACAAGATTAAGTTAACAATCAGTGATGCAAATGTTTGTGTGGATTCAAGAGTGTGTTGGTGACAATCTTGTAGCAGTTCACTTCATTAAAAGGCCAGTATTACCTTTAGATTAACTCTGGTAACACTACAGCATTGTCATATTTCACTTTTTCAATAAAATATTACCCTCATAAAGGCTGCATTGTGTTTGATTTGCTTTAAGAAACTGTACATGCAGCCATTGTTGCAACACATTTTGATTTTGATACAGTCATCGCTTAATCCTTCATAATAGTCACACCTCTGCGGGAAATGCTGGTAAAGAACATTTGTGTTATTTTCCGGTTGAAGCTGATAAACCTGAATGGTTGGTGCTACTAGGAAAAGAGAAGTGGATCTTGACCTACATTAAATAAAATAATACCATGTTATTATATTAAAACATTATCAAGTTAGTAACTTTGACGTTAAGAATTCAAATTCTCACAAATGTTTATTTTTGGTTGGATTAAAGAAATATCGACCATAGTAGTGCAAAATGCTTGCACAGAGCCTGCCCCAACTTCACTGTCTTTCTGTGTAATGCATTTATTTTCCAAAGTTCTATTAATCCGCAATGATGTGAGCTGCACTTATTTTTCAACGCAGGAAATATTGCATCTAAAACAGAGGAGGTAATACGCTTGCCCTCTAAAGCTGGAGTGGGTTGCCTTTTTAGGAGATTTAGTTTTGATTGAAAGTCTTCCAAGGGTCAACAAATCAAGATTCAAACCTTTTCTTTGGGTAATTTCACTGACCAGATTGCATCAGGTTTGAGGGATACACCTGACCATTCACAACAATTGTATAATACTTAATCGTTTTTAAATATTTGTAACATCATAATGGCAATGGAGACTTTAGCAATATTTGACAGAATTTGCGATTGTATGATTCTGACATTACATTAAATGTAACTAAACTATAAAAATACCTAAAGAGGTTTGACTTATTTAAAGCTAATGTAGGCTACTTTCAAGATTCTTGTTGCTCTTATTGTCACACACACTTTGGATACAAGTGTCAGTTAAATGAAATGTAATGTCAGGAGAATTGTGTTTGACAGAATACTTTGGACTGACATCTGAAACATGTGGAGGCTAAACGCGATGAGCTTTATTGTAAACGAGGTGGTCTGTTGGTATTGATTTTATGTTGTCGTGCGCTGTGGGGGCCATTGTCTTCAATTAAACCCTACCACACTGGTAAATCACACAATATTTGACTTTTGACCTCTGCACTTCTTTTCAGTGTCAGCGTTTTTTTGCTTGCAGTTTCATTCTTACTGTCACCAACAGAATAAAATACTGGCATGATGAGCCTTATACTGTGAATGATTTACAATCATTTATTGTGCATGTATTTAAAAAACAAGTTAACAAAAAGGAAAGGAGATATAAACCTGCAGTGTTTTTTTCTTCTACAAGTCAACATTCAATTTAATAATTTAGCAGAATTACAAATAATACTTGAAAATATTATAAGAGATGATTACCTGTTATTCAGAGTTGTTAGACATGTGGTTACATACAGCCATGTTCATTTTAACAGGTCTTATTTAGTGCCTTTTTTCTTACTAAGTGCACATTTAAATGCAAACTCCCTATAAATAGTTGTACTAACATGACTTAACCTGCATACTATTTATTTTAAATTGAAGGACCAATGATATTTCTCACCTCCACTTTTATTCGGCAGTGGCACTATTTGCTTTTGTAGTGTTTGCAGTGTCAACTGTTTAAAAAGAGAACACGTTAATAACTTCAGGCTACTTTTTATTCCCAATACCAATAGCATCATGCAGTTTTTATAGTAACATTTTCTTATATTTTTACAAAAATGGAGTGTATAACATAATTCCCCCACACACCCGTGTAACATTAAACAGGCCAGAGATACAGTAACTTGTAAAAGTAAACGTCTTTTAGATTCATTTCTGCAGCCTGTTGATTGACCCCAGTGATACTTAGTTGTTGTACCACATATGACCTCTTCTGAACATGCTTTTTTTAATTTAAAACGAATAACTCTCATAACAGCATGCATGAGTGCTGTGCAGTGTGTGATTCGCCGGAAGTGGGTCAGACATGGTGCGGGCCGAGGCGCAGCACGGAGAAAGCTCTGTGGTGTTTGCGCAGCAGCAGGCGGATCTTATCGTCGTCAGAGTCCGGGTCCAGAGGCTTGTTGTACTCCTCGTCCTCCACCTCGTTCTCCGAGGCCTCCCCGCCGGTCCCCGCCAGGCCGGACTGCGTGGAGCTCGGCTCCGAGGCGCTCTTCTTCCGCCACTTGGTGCGTCGGTTCTGAAACCACACCTACACACAGCAGGAGTCATCTGGTTTACACACATTTCATAGAAAGCCCAGATAATGATCATGCACCAGTAGGTGAATAGGTGAGATGGTGAGATGGTGAGATATAACTGTGACGTCACCTCATGATGCGATGCACCGATTAGAACATTCAAGATGTTTATCTCCACAAGTAGGTCAACGATACTCATACAAAACGTCATTAAAAAAAACTTGACCAATTAACTTCTGTTGCACTCTTCAAAACCAGACTTATTTCAAACAACAATGAAGGAGACGCTCAAATGTGGAGAAATTAAAGCAAAAATAAAAATATTAAATGACTCTGTCTAAATAGAAAGGCACCTCTTTCAAGAAGCTATATCTAATGGAATAGGTCAACTTTATTTCTATTGCACTTTTCAAAACAAGAGTTGGCTCCCATCAAATCACCATAAAGGTCACATATAGAGAAATAAGAGAAGGTATAACAAATAAAGTGTTGGAGTAAAATGTTTAAATTGTGAAGCACATATCACAAAAGCAACATTTTAAAAGCTTTACCTAATTAAATACATCAACTTATTTTCTACTGCACCCCTTAAAACAAGAGCTACTTCACACACAAATCAAGGTAACGCTCAAATGTGGAGAAATTAAAGCAAATATAAAAAGAAAAACATAAATTATTGGATTTAAAGTGTTTAAATTGCAAAGCACTTCACATAAAAGCATCATTCCACACGCTTTAGCTGACAAGGTAACTTTTTTGCTATTACACCTTTCAGAACAAGTGTTACCTCCCATGAAATAACCAGAAAGGTCATATATAGAGAAATACAAGTAAACAATTAAAAACATGGACGAACAGGAGTTAAATGTTTAAATTGTACGGCACGTCACACAAAAACTTCAATTCAAATGCTTAAGCTAATGAAATAGGTCAACTGTATTTCGAGTTACTTCACCAGAAAGTTCATATAATAAAAAGGAAAAATATATACATTATTTGAGTGAAGTGTTTAAATTGTTAGGCACTTTACACAAAAGCACATTTCAAAAAGCTTTAGCTGATTAGGTAGATCAACGTTGTTTCCTAAACAACTTTTATCCATGTATTTTTTCTTTTAATGTTTATTTTATTATCTTTTCTTTTTAATGACTGATTTTAAATGCCATTTTCTTAATGTCTTCCATTTTTGTAAAGCACTTTGAATTGCCTTGTGTTGAAAGGTGCTATATAAATAAAAAAATAAACTTGCCTAAAGAAACATAGAAAAGGTGAAAGAAAATAATACTTAATTAAAAAAGCTTCGGCTAAATGTTTTGTAATCTTTACCTTGACTTGTGACTCGGTCATTCCCAGAGAATAGGCCAGTCTGGCTCTCTCCGGCCCGGCCAGGTACTTGGTCTGCTCGAAGGTTTTCTCCAGGGCAAAAATCTGATGTCCACTAAACGTTGGTCTGGTGTGTTTCTTCCTGCCTGACATCTCCCCCAGATCACTACCTGCAAATATAAGGAGAAAAAAGTATTTATTAAAGAAACGCTGGATTTTCCTTAGACTGAAACATATAAGTTAAATTATATTCTATTGGTTTCTGCTGGAAGTTTGGGACAACAAACATTACGATTTGTTCTATCACCCATCGTCAAAAAAACATCGTCCACATATTATATGAGTGCCATTTTTTGAATATTTGATTTGATGTTACAACTGCCCCATATATTTATTCACTGCCGCGTTGCCCGTGAGCAAAGCATCAGACCCGCACACTGCTCATTAAGCGCATAATAGAATAGCTGCCCACTGCTCCTAATACTAAGATGGGTTAAATGCAGAGTAACAATTTCACTGTGTGTGCTGCAAACAAAATCCTCCATTAACAATTACATTTATATCCATTCGAATTGTACACATTTCAAATACATTAAAATGAATAATTCAATCTAAGAATCTATTTGTCCTATTTTTGAATTTTACTGGCACCATTGTCTTGCAATATTATATTGTATACTTCTATTACTAATTGTATTTATTTTAGATTACATTGCATTTAGCTGACGCTTTTATCCAAAGCGACTTACAATAAGTGCATTCGACCAGGAAGATACAAACTAGAAGAAAACAGAATCATATAAGTACATCAGGTTTCATAGAGCCAAAACATTTCAAGTGCTACTCAACTGGCTTTAGATAAGACAGTCCTTTGATAGTATTTAAGTGCTTTGATAGTATATAAGTGCTTTGATAGTATATAAGTGCTTTGTTAGTCATTCTATCGCTCTATTTTACGAGGCATTATTAGAGGAGCTGGGGACTTTAGATCTTCATTGCCTAAACTTAGCTGTAGCTTTTGTGCACATGACAATAAAGCCTCAAAAACTTTAATTTAATCTTAAATATGTTCAAGTATCTGTTTAAAAAAACACAAACAAAATGTTGGTTAAAACATCTCTCATATACTGGATGTATCTGAGTTTGTAAAGTTAGTTTATATTTTGAATTTGGGTGAATTTGTCTTCTAAGGACGTTCTGGCACGAGTCCTCCAGTGTCCTCAGAGACAAAAGAGTAAACATTACGCAAATGAAACTATCTACTTTCATGCACCAGTTTAAATGACAATGTGATCCACATTTCTATCATTAGGGTTTTCCCCCTACTTTTCTTTGTATTTATTCAAAAAACACAAATATAGATTGTCCAAAAGATATTTAAGATATTAAATCTAAATCTGGAACCTCAATATTCCCAGATTCTCTTATCTTCATCTTCCGGTTTCAATAAGTAATGGCAATAAACCACATCTTATCCTAGGTATGAATATGAATCATGAGTATTTTTTTATATATTATAATACTGTGTTGTAGACTCTATGTTAGAAAAACAGTGTCCTCAGAGACTCATGGAGGTTGTAATGCTGCTGTTGACCCCCCCTCAGCTGAAGGATGGAGACTCACTGTTGGTGCACGGCTGCCGCCCCCCCCTCCACTCACAGCCGCTCTCCGCCCAGCAGCTGCGACCCTTCATGGAGCACTCTGCGCCGGGCTTGGAGAACCCGCCCAGGGGGGAGTTGTAGTCTCGGTTATAGTACATGGAGGTGCTGCTGACGGAGGGGCTGAACCCCCCCATGGTGGAGTATCCGGACAGCAGGGTGGTGGTCCCCGTGGCGCCCATCCCCATCATGGAGCTCCTCAGGATGTCGCTGATGGTGTGCGGCGTCCCCGGCTGCAGCTGGCTGTTCAGAGCCGGGTTGAGCTTGTAGAAAGAGTTGGGCACAGAGTACTGACACACCGGGGCCTTGAGCTCAGAGGAGAACTGGTTCAGGCTGTTGTTGAACAGGAAAGACCCCTGGATGTTTGGATCCATGGGAGGTAGTGTAACTCTGACTCCAGTGACACATCCAATAAGGTCCAAGCAGGAATAGACCTCAGATAGGCCCACACAGAGTTCCTCACCCACAGGCGATGTCTTGGATCTGGGATCAAACCCACTTTCTTTCCAGATATTCAAATAACAAAGAGCGATTTTAAAGTCCCGGTGTTTACAAAAGTTCCTACCACATCAGTAAACGCAGATAAACTCTTCACCTCTTCTCAGCCACAGTGTGTTCTGTGATAATCCCATATCTAACGTCGCAGGCGAGCCCTCTGGATTCAGGTTTAGTTGTTCTGCTAAAGACACATGCCTGCCGCCGGCGCTCTCCTCAGAGGTCATAAATAAGCAGTATCTGGAAATGGAGTGGCACCTTGATAAAGATAGGCCATATTAGAATGCAGCCTGGGATTGGCCTGGGTCTCACGGCTTTAATGCCTCTCTATTGGCTCCTCGCTGAGAGCCAAGCCTTTTATTGGAAGGCAGCAGATTAATAGTGTTTTGAACAGGTGGAGAGGGAGCAAGTTGATTTCTTGATGGCCTGCCATGTCTGACCAAGTGTGGTGGAGCAGAGGCAGCTGAGCACCGAGTACACAGAGGAGGAGAAGAAGGGCTGATATATGTCCCAGTTTATCAGTGGTGAGATGTGGTTTTAAAGCAAAATAGGGGTTTTATTGTAAAAAATAATACATTCCCCAAAAACATAGTTTCCTTTCATGCACCGGTTTCAATGATAATGTGATTCACATTTCTATCATTTGGGTTTTTCCCCTACTTTTCTTTGTATTTATTCAAAAAACACAAATATTGATTGTCCAAAAGATATTTAAGATATTAAATCTAAATCTGGAACCTCATTATTGTGTTTATAATATTCACAGATTCTCTTATGTTCATCTTCCAGTTGGCAATATACCACATCTTATCCTAGGTATGAATATGAATCATGAGTTTTTTTTATATATATCATAATACTGTGTTGTAGGGTTTTATGTTAGAAAACTTAAAAATATCCCCCCAATTAATTTTTTTAATATTTTCTCTGGTGCAGTGTGAAGCCACCATCATGCAACAATAAACTCAATATTCAACCAGCAAAAGTTGAATTTATCCAAAGTTGTATTAATGCTTATGAAGCTTTTTTAGGTTGACAATGTGACAATAATACATTTTGGTGAATCTAATTTAAATGTATAATTGTATTTTCCATTTTTTTTCTTAAACCTCAGATGCACAAGTTATTGGACCCTACAATTTCCCATTAGAATAATATGTTTTTATGCCATTTTTGTAATTTTGTATAAGAATCATCACTATTTTATTTCGTTCCACACAAGAATGATTTCATGTTTGAAATATTTTTTAAATTTTTAAAAATACGTTTTGAACATATTGACAATTGAAAAAGAAGAAAATTATAATGCACACACACGCACACACACACACACCACACACACACACACACACACACACACACACACACACACACACACACACACACACACACACCCACACGGCCTACGCAGTAGAACTGCATGTCTAGAATCAAGCATTCTCTCTTCAAAACATCCAAAGCATATTTGCAGTCACATTAAAACATGCCTGCAGCTGACGTGTATTTTTAGGTCATGGGAAGAAGTCATGTGATAATTTGTTATAGAATGAAAAAAGTTAGTAACTTTCCGAGAGTGATGTCACTTTTGGTTTCCAGACATTGCTTCATCCTGTCACATGCTCCGGGCTGCCAACCAATGAGGTGTTAAGAAATGACGGAGTGTGTGTCCAGCAGAGGGCGACAGAACTCGACACACACTGGTGTATCATCTGAGGAAATGTTCAAAGTAAGGATCATTGCATACACTCATCACTTAACCATGTCTGAAGTTCCCTCAAATCCACTGGGCCAGAAAGGGAAGTGACATCCAAAATGTTGCTGGTATTTCCCATGATTTAATCCACTGCACCTTGGAAAATAACCACCAACAATGTTTTGGGTTATTGAAAGCTTATTTAGTTGCAGGATTCTTGCTTTTTTAAGTTTAAATGTAAAACAAAAAAGATTAAAAAAGGGTCCTTTTGAAGTGTTTCTATGTAAAAAGGTCATGTTGCATTCTATTTCCCAAACAAAACAGCAAAATGTGCATGAGGACAATCAAATATTAGTAAAATAGCAGCTAAGAATCAAATACAGAATATCGGATGCATCCCATTTACAGTAAACACAAGACAGGACAGAAAGTGAAACATGAGAGCTTGCTTGTTAAATACATGTGAGAAAGGTGCACACATACAGGCAGAAATAAGAAGTTATTATAATCTGCAACATTAAATAAAAAACAATTGCAATCGAAGGACACGATAGTAAGAAAGACCTGCAAGCTGTGCATTTAATATATATTATAGTACAAAAACACAATCACAAGACGATGAAAGAGAATTCAACTAATTCTGTTTGATTATTTAATGTCACCATTAAACAATTTCACAACATGATGACAGAGAATGAAACTGATTCTCTTTTATAATCAGCCTAAATCACACAGTGAAGGACATAACATCAACAAAAACTCCCTGCTGTCAGCTGAAGGGAACTTTCCATGCGATGGTTCCTCCCTCAGGCCTCCTGCTTTCAGTTTGATGAGGGCGGGATGTTAGTGTTTACATGCCCCACATGCAGCATACTTTAAAAGCAGTAACACTGCACCTCATGACAAACGATCCAAGAAACAGACGAGAGCACATGCACGCTACAGACCACAAGAACATAACCTCTGCCTCTTCAAGATGGTGAAGGACACTAGCAACAGGAACTCTGGTGAGATTTCTTTTCAATTTTAATCTTTGCAGAGACATTTATATGGAATTTATACTGTCAATAATAACCATCTCAATTTCTCATTACAAATAACTAATAATTTGGGCTTCCTGTAGTAGTCCAAATTATTAATTATTCTTTTTAGTTAAAAAATGTTGGTGAAATATTATTTTGCTGTATGTCAAAATGATCTTTAGTTGCATTTGGTTCGCCAACATTAATGTATAGTTTAATGTTTTTATTTAACCTAGTACTCATACTAAAATAAGAAAATATAAATGATATCAACATTTTCAAATTCAAACATTTTAGAGACATTTATTTTCACTTTTCATGTTGGAGCAAAAGTACATTTTATGTAAAAAGTAAGAAAATAAATGCATTTACAATTTTAATTAAAGCATATTATTGTCGACAAAAAAAAGGTTAGTAAGTCAAAAATTCCTATATGAATTAAGTATTATTAGCCTTATAAATGAATAGACATCATCCATACATATTTTTTTAGGAGATGCTGAAAGCCACTAATCTGGAAACTAAAGATCTGATAATGTTGAACAGAAGCCAGGTCTTTATGTTAATGGCTGTAGAAAGGGACGATTAGCAGCTGAGATAGAGGCCTTTATGATGAAGGAGTTCATCCTTGCCAAAAGCATTTACTGGAAACGTTCAGCTTGTCACTGAAATGCTTTACATACAGCTCGTGGTTTCTTAATGCTTCATTTGGGTAGAGTCTCATCAGTTTCTGCAAGCCGTCCTTTGACAAATGGACACATATTGTGAATGGACTCAGGGTTCACTTCAATGATTAATGCTCTGCTCCTCCAAAGTCAAATCACATTTGCTGGTTTCAGTATTACTCGTGTTCTGGTGAATCTTCTGTTAGTTTATAACCCTAATCAAAATCCACTCAACCTTGCAGTAAAGGTTAAAGATTAAGTAGCATCCGGTTATAAAGGTTGGATAAATTGCCCTTTATAAAGAAATTATTTTGTTACAGGGCATACACAGCAACATCATAAACAACTATGATGAATTACAATCAACTAATCAGATGAAATAAAGACATCAAATAAATATTTCTGCACACATTGGCAGTGCAGAAATCTTCTCAGCTTGTTGTTGTTGTTGTTGTTGTTGTTGTTGTCTCTGTGACGCACAGATTCAAGAATGAAAAATAATTCCCTGTATGCAAAACTTTCATAACGATTCCTAACTTTATTATTATAATTTTTTTCCAGATGACAGCCCTCACAGGTGCTGCTGGTCCTGCCTCGGCCCGCTCAGCTTCCACTCTCAGGCGGTGGGAGACATGGTGCGTCTGAGTCGGGGGGGGCCTCCTGGCGGAGAGGAGGGAAAACACCTTCAAGAACGGCCTGGTGTTCAGCAGCCGCCCGCTGAAGTTCCAGGAGAGGATCCGCCTGCGGGTGGAGAAGGACTCCTTCAACTGGAACGGAGGTCTGCGTCTGGGCTTCACCACGGTGCATCCCATGGCCAGATCTCTGCCCCTGCCCATCATGGCCATCCCCAACCTCACGGAGACCCCGGGGCACTGGGCGGCTCCTGTGCACGAGTCCTTCTGCCAGGCAGGTGTCGAGCTGGAGTTCTGGGTCTCTGCTGGAGGCTCCATGTTCATCAGCGGAAACAACGGCAGGGAGCAAAAGCTGCTGTCAGGAGTGGATCGCAGCCGGCCGCTGTGGGCCGTGATAGACATCTACGGACAGACGTGCTCCATCTCCCTCCTGGGTATGTTTACTATCATAACAACATGCTCGCTGTGCAGCCTGTTTGTCTTCTTCCTGCTTATTTACAGTAGCCACATACAAAATAATAGTTTTATTGTTAGAACATATTGTAATACTTCTACTTCTTGCTGCAGGCTCAGAGAAAAGGGAGTTTTTTCGCACCAGACGCTCCTGTCCTGCACCTGAATGCCTCACTTCACCTGAGGTTGACAACCACTGCAGTTTGTTTACTGATTCTTCAAGTCTGGATGGAAACAGCTATGAATACATCTCCTGTCTCGAAGGCCCAGAAGGTAAGAAAGAGTCCTTCAAACCCACATTTGATTTCAGTGTTTTGCACATTTTGACCAGAGAGAACCTGTCTCTGTTATCAGATTTGTAATCATGGTTCCTCTGTTTTGATCACAGATGGAGACGCATCGTGCTGCGTTGTGTGCATGGAGACACAGGCCAGCATCACTCTGCCTTGTGGCCACCAGTGTTTATGCAACCGGTGCGCCTTCAAAGTCTTGAAGCAGTTTGGCACTTGCCCGCTGTGCCGACAGAACATCAGAGCTCCATCGGGGAACGGGAGGAGAGCCTCCGTCCGTGCCTGAGCTCCACC